TTTGTTGCTTCTGATATAAAATCCTTTGTAAATCTGCCGTTAATTTTTTCGGGATTTTTACTTATCCAGTAATCCACGGCTTCTAGTCCTAGGGAACTTGATATATTGCTGTACAAGTTTATTACATCCAGTGTAACGAGTTTACTGTTATTTTCCACTTTCTCGGGTAAATGACGTAGAAAATCAAAGTCATCTCGTACATAACTTTTGACTCCAGAACATAACGGTTTTAGAAGAATGTCTAGTAGGTGACTAAGTCTCTGTGTTGGTGCCGATGGCCCACCTACTATTGGTCGAAATGTGAGATCTTCTGGATAGGGACAGATTATGTATTCCGAGCACTGGGATTTGATAGCCTCTTTTATTTGTCTAGATTTATGAATCTTTGGTGGTCCATAAAAATTGCTTTCACTGTATTCATAATCCGTTAAGAAGTCTTCCTCTTTCTCTGTTAAACTTGATGTAGTTTTATGGCGTTTCAAAAGATTCTTAATTTTTTGCATTGTTTTTTTTATTGTTGTTGTTTGGAATTTCTTCGTAGTACTCCGTATTCGATAGCATGTTCATTATATAAACTTTATAAAAATTAGAATCCATGATTACAATTGCGCCACCTTTGTCCGCTTCTTTTATAACAATGGATTCATCACTCGACAATGATTGAAGTGCATTCTTCTCTTCTTTTGTTAGATTCCATTTTTTTTTTTTTTTTTTTTTTTGGTTTTGTTTGTTTTTATTAAGCGGCAAAGTATTTAATGTCTCACAAACAACATCTAGAATATCCTTCCGTCCTTTTTTAGGGTTAAAGTGAGATTTGTTGCGTACGAGGTCTTCTTCCTCTTCTGAATCTGAATCACTCTCGTTTTCTTTTTTAAAATATTCCGCTAGCCTCAATTTTCTTGTATATTCTTTAATATCGGTCCTTAATTCTTGACTATTACTATGAGGCGTAGGAGTAAATTTTAAACCTTTGGATAACAGACGTACCTCCGAGTCACTTAAAGGTCTGTTAGAAAGGTTGATAACTTTAGGGTCAACGTTTTTTATTGTAGGTTTAGACTTCAAATCTTGTTCCGCACCTTTCGTCGTGTGTTCAATGGGTGGTGTTAGTGATTCCTGTACTTCTTTTGCCGGTCCGGAAATAAGTTGTTTGCCCCTTGGTTGGGTTTGCCTCCCCCTAAAAAATAGTTTCTGGCATTTCTTCCTATGTATGTCACACGGTTAGTTTCGTACATGTTGTGTGAATAGCCTTTAGATTGATGGTAATATTTGTCGTCTCTTGAAGATGGTTTTCCATATGATTTAGGGTTCTGATTTGCTTTGAATGGAATACTTTGTTTGTGTATCTTTGGTTTACTACACATTTGTTTTTCTGAGTGTTGTATTTTTGCGAACTTGTCACCTTTGGTAGAGTGTTATGTGTATCATTCCTCGGTGGGTCGTTTCTAACGGCATCTGCATAATTTCTAGGCGGTTTTGTGTTGCCTTTTCTAATTTGTTAATATATATATATACACTTCTTTCCTTAGTCCTATCTGGATAATGATTAGTATAAACAAAATATAAACGAATTATAAGAAAAGAATCACCTATTTATAATCAAATCAATCAAAGATGCAAACCTAACGCTATAATCTTATCTATATGTAGCTGCAGACTGAGTGGTATAACCAACAATGCTCTGGTTTCCCGACACCTCCTGAAACTACCCAAAAACACACCCAACACATCACAAAGTCACATAGACACCTTAGGTCACACAGGCACAAGCTAAAGTCACCGAGACGCCGTACCTAGTCACATAGACACTAGGGAAAAGTCCCTGAGCTGAGTGGTCTAACAAACAATCCTGTTGTTTCCCGACACAGTTCAGGTACAACTCCCAGGTCACCTATCTCCGACGTTGACTTCCACCAAAAGAAAGCGAAGCTAGGCTAGATTGATCCTAGTCCGAAATATTTGACGTTTTCCAGGCTTTTTTTAAGATTTTGATATTTTTACGAAAACGTCAGAACCGTCGCCATGATGAAAACTGGAAATTTCGCCGTCTAGCTGCAACTGGAGCTCATTTTTAATACTTGCGAACCGAACTAAATGCCTAAATCAGAATTTATCAAAAGCACAACACCTCTAGTACTTACCAATATCGATGAAAAGAAAATATCACTCCACATTTCGTTACAGGACTTGCAAGATTTTAAAATGCACCAAATGAAGACAGATCTCGACAGTGTGATAAGATCTTTTCAACGTATTGTATATTTTATAAATGGACCGCAAACGATATTGGCAAGTACTAAAAGTATTGTACTATTGATAACTTATGACTTTGAATTTTAGTTGTGTTCGCAAGTATCTAATATCAACTCGAGAATGCCGTCCCCGGTTGGAGGCGGCGATTTCCCAGTTTTCGTAACTGACGTTGAGGTTCTGGCGTTTTTCTGGCATGTAAAATATCAAAATCGTAAAAAGCCTGGGAAACGTCAAATATTTCGGACTCGATTGATCCCTGTATTTATGTATACCATTTTGCATCTGCACCATTCAAACTGATTGGTTAACAATTCTAAGCAAATTGGTTGGCTGAAATGTCAACTCTGATTGGCTACATATAAAAGAATGTGATTGGATGATTCTAAAACTATTTCAATCCACTGTACTACTTATGATTTATTACAATAAATATATTTTTGCCCTGTCCGTCTGTCTGTCTGTCTAGTTGTCTATTTGTCTGTTTTTCCTGCAAAAACTTTAACTTTGTCAATAACTTTTGAATTGGAGGGGCTGTGACTTTCATATTTCAGAGGTGTATTCCTTGTGACAAGCTCTTTCTACTGGTTCAAATTTTGATCTTGTAACCGTAGAACTTGACCCATTTAAAGTTGCCCGACCATAACTTTTGATGCTATAGGGCTCTCATACTTAAATTCACATGTGCATTCACTGTGACAAGACTTTCATTGCCCACTTCCTTCAATTCCTTCCATGTAGTCTCCTTCACATCCATCATAACCTCTGGTAGATTCACTTTTAAATACCGTACATAGCTCTATAAGAGACTTACTGGAGGTATTTTAGAGGAGTAGACAGGCTTTAGGCTTAATAGCGCATATTTAAGTAGTACTCAATCGTGATGAACGCCCCAAATCAATGAAACTACACTCCACACAACTTACATATTTAGATAGTTTCCATATGACATATTTTCTCGTGATGAACGCCCCAAATTAATGGAACTACATTCCATCAAGTTACACTTTTAGATAGTTTCCATATGACATATTTTCTCTCCGAGTTATTTCCCTTGGTTGCCAACTTGGTGGTCAATCTAGTATTTTTTCCTCTTAGCAGAAAACCTAAAGCCGGAATTAAATAGGTCTAGCGGAAATATTTTGAAATTAGTCGCCTGAATGTCTGTATCATTTGTGCGCTTAGAAGAACGGACGTTAAAGCTTTAGCAAATAAGCTTGTTTCGAACTTAGACTTAATTTCCCAAAGCGTGGTTTTGGTGAATCTCCATCAGAATGTTGTTGATGTACTATTTAAACGAAAGTGGAAACAAGATATACACTTTACAGGTACAAAAAAGATGTCAAAATTTATGCATAGTTAATTAAATATGCAATGACAATATCAGTGAACATAATTAAGTAAAAATTTTATTTACAAAAACTCACAAGTTCCTGAATATTTTTAAGAAATTTAAGTTTTATAGAGATATAATTTACTTAATTTAGCTAATTCTAGCCTATATTGCGTGAAATAGCCATATTTAGATATAGCTTTATTAAGCTATTCGAATTTTCCATTGTTTGTGTTACTTTATACCATCTTGTGCACTGTGAGGGGTGGATAAGAATTATTAAATACTGTACATTTTGTTGAATAAGTACTAATCAGTTATCATGTTTACCACAAATGACCAGGTTTACAAATTTATTTATGAAGTAACTCATAGTGTTCACAAATTTGTTTTGCTTTATATAGCCTCGAACTTTGGGGACTTTGAAAATGGTTGGTCCAGGATTAATATTATCTTTCTTGTTTTAAATGTGTTCTACGTCAAAACAATATTAATGTAAAGTTGAAAACTTAAATGCACCAAAGTGTGACTTTTTTGCATATTGAAAAAAAAATCAATATAATAAATCATGATTTTTTTTCTACAGAAAGTGGATCCTATGGGGCGACCAACTTTATCAGCCCATCCTGCCAGATTTTCCCCAGATGACAAATTCTCCAAACAGCGGGTTATGTTAAAGAAAAGATTTGGACTTCTACCAACACAACAGCCAAAGGAAGTGTACTGAGCAAAACTGTGCATAGCGATAAATGAAGATAAAATTTATGTTGTGAACTTTTCTTATCGAGAAATCTCTTAGCTGAGAATACATCATACATCAACCAGTGGAACTTTTTATATTCAATTATGTAAACATCTATTCAATGTTATCTAATCATATAAACATGAATATTGTCATATCATTCATCAGTATTTATTATTTTAATTGTAATATACTTTCTTCTATGGTAGCCATTTAGTACTGCCATATTATTCTTCACAAGAGTATATTCTTGTAAGTCATTAGAATATGTTAAAAAAAATATCTATGGATGTACCCCTGTTTAGTGCTGAAAACCATGAAAATTGTAGGGGTACGTGTTAGATCTTTATTTCCTGGTTCAAAAATTAATTTATAATGGTCTGAAAGGGTTAACTTAATAGTAGTATATGATCAACATTATTTGAGCAATCCAAATTTTCTAGAATTGGAAAGTTTGTGGTATTTGTTTCATATATTTTTATGTATCATTTATACCTATGAAAATATCATCTTAATTACCATGTATCCTTACACAATGGTAATTATATTAAGAAAATACCTATGTACAAATGAAGCTGCAAAGGATGACTATGTTCAAAGTTTCACACACTGTTTTTTTCAACAATTATAGGTTGAATCAGCATTTACAGTAATAAAAATAAAACAAGATTTGCATACTTTATGTCACTTTTGTTTATTGGATGTTGACACACAGATATGGTGAAGTTTACCAGTATTACACAGCAGTTGCGTAGGGCATAACTTAAGATGAATGAACAGCTGTATTTTGCAGGAGTATTTGGCTTTGTCAATGTCGTATAAATATACTGAACTGATATAAATATTATTCACTCAGTTATAATCCATGGTGTAAAAACTAATATATGCATTGTAAATTAACAAAGTTTACAATGTATTGAGACTTGAGGAATATTAAGTGTCAAAACAAAGAATAATTTTCTATAACAAAAATCACAATTAATATCACATAAAGCCTATATCACATTCTTGAAGGCATTGAAAAAGGTCGTGGTGTAGGACGGTTTGGTAAGCAAATTTATATAAAGATTTGATAAATTACTACATACACCTGTGAATACTTTGTAAAAATACCGACATCTTTAAAAGATGTGGTAAACATAAAAAAGATTGGACACATTTACATAGTTATGTAGAAATATGTATACTGCTCATGTACGCCGAGACTTTATGGACTTGTACACCACTGAATTTGATTATAAAGATTAAATTCATTTTCATATGAACAATGATACTGTAACAGTCATAAGGATATTCGATAGGAAAATCTCAATTCCATAATATTTTCAATCAAACTCTAAAAATGACATCAACAATTCATATCTATTAACATTATGAAAATCCCTTCATACATCTTAATTAATGGCCTAAAGCATGATCTTGAAGACTTGTTTTACCTATCAAAATAATATCCTATGAATTGGCTATAATGACTAAAACAAAACAATTTTGATTAAAAATCTAAATGTCCAACACATGTAAAATATATTTTCAGCAGTGCCATGGATTGCTTCTATTAGGGTTACTACAATTACACAAAGAACTGACAATATTAACAAATTATTTAAATCATTGGGGGGGGGGGGCATAAAGAGGTTTTTGATAGAAACTAAAATTTTTGGCATTGGAAAGCCACCAAAACAAGATCAATATAAAATTTAAATGCAATTGGCATTGTTATAACAGAAAACTAACAGAATACAAAAAGTACAAAAGATATAGATTGTATAATGATGTAAAACAATAAACAAACACACAGCAGTATAAATTCAATGAACTGTTCATGAAATGGATATCAAATAAATGTATAAACATAAAGCATGTCACTTACTTGTCAAAAACTTTCTATAAAACAACAAACTGAACACAAAGTTTATAAAATACTTTAAAGCAACAAAACGAGCACTTTGCATAACATGTAAAAAGAAAAAAAAACCTCTGAATTATGACAAACATTTTGCTTGTACGTGTAGTTATAAGTCCGATAATAAAAATATACTTCACCGATTTTTCAAGCAGTGAGGTCAAATAGGAAAACACAAAATCACAACAGAGCTCAAATGCAGACACGATGATAATGTATTGCATACACTGAATATAAAACAAATACTGCAAAATCAGTAAAATTCTAAAATATCACAAATATAAATACATGTAAAAGAAATGGATGCATTATTTCCTGAACTGAATCATGAATGCAATAAATTACAAATCTAACAGGCACCTCATGTTATTTGACATCGACAATCCTACATTCCTACTAGTGTGTATAGGCCAACAGTGTCACTAACAAAAGCATCCCCTCAAAACTACATGTAGTTCATTTGTCAATAATGATACTTCACACACATTGATTTTTAAATGATATGACAACTATTATGATGATGTTTTTTGAAAAACCTTAAACTTTTATCCCTAATGTGCCATTTAGTGCATCTATTTTTAGGGTGACATAATTTTTTTGTATTGTCATGAAAAAAATCCAACACTTGTAAACTTGAACCTTGATTCAGAACAAATGGCTTTGTTCATTTGTCCAGTTAAATAACTGCAGTCTTTTATTTGTGCTTCTTAATTTCACACTCATGATCATTTAATGGTAAGAAAGAACAGTATTTTTTACGAATAGAAATCCCGATATTCTTGAATGATTATTATATGTCCTTTATCCTATTGATAAAATTCTAAACCTCTCAATTTCATGTTCGAAAAAAATCTGTCACATCTGGACCATTTACAGACTTTATAATGGAAACACCTAGCTTTCTTTAATAATTAAACACTGGCAGATCAAAATGTATTTTTTAAATGGCGTTCACTAAACAAAATGTGGATGCAAACACAAAGATAAAATCATTAACACAGCACTACTGACAGATAGTCATTTGCAACATAAATGCAAAGAGGGAAAAATAACCCTGTCAGTAATTTCATTTATTGCTTTTCACCAACATTTAAATCATAATAATTACAACATTTTTCATAGCTTATGCTCTAGGAGTAAAACAAACCAATGTTTGCTACTGTTCTTAATATGAATACCTTGGAGAGCATAACTGCACCAAAACTGGCTAATCTTCAAAGCACACTGCACTTCTCATTCACAACAAAGCAAAATGTTGTTGACCTTAAACTGAAAGCCCCAGATCACATCTTCTGTCCCACACAGACTGGTGGTGACAACGAACAACGCAAATTCTAGATGATGGAAAATTGTCATCAGCGCATGACCTGGTATAGAGCTCCACTTCAGCAGCTAGCAGGTATGGCCATCATACTTTTCTTGTGCCTTTCTCCCACATATAGATCTGGCTGTCAGGAGTTTCCCAGCTCACTTGGTTCTCTCCACTGGTACCTGTAATGTTACCATCAATATATATACTCCTTGATAAAGTTGTACAAGTTCAGGTCATGATAGAGCATTAATAATGTTAATTGTCCTCTACATGTCTCAAATACTGTACTTCTATCTATAGAAGTTGCAACTTATTAGACACATACATTTGTATGCAAGTAGACAGAAACACATGGTGGGAACTATATGTAAGACAAACTGAGATGAAATCAACTGACCCATCTCAGTACCACTAAGATTAAGAGTTTACCTTGAGGAGGACAGACTTGCTTGACTGTCATTAGATCTGGCCTTCAGAGTGGTTTGGAATGAAGTCATTGTGTCAATGAACTGTTGCCTGTCTTTACCCTGTTAAAATAAGTTCTAAATTTGAAACTACCTATTGCTTGAAAAAAACAGTGTATACAATAAGCTATTCATGTAAAGTTCTAAATTTACAGATTACAACGAATGAATTATTTTTCTAGCTTTCCTGTGTTGAGTTCTGTTAAGCTTGTGAGATATTTTCAAGTGCCTTAGAGATATTTCCATACCTTTCATGTGTTTAGTTCTGTTTTCTATTCCATTTAAAATATTTTCCTACGTTTCCAGCGTCGAGTTCTGTTATGACAGTGAGATATTTTCCCACCTTTCCTGTGTTGAGTTCTAATATAGCAGTGAGATATTTCCTTACCTTTCCTGTGTTGAGTTCTGTTATGGCAGTGAGATATTTTCCTACCTTTCCTGTGTTGAGTTCTGTTATGGCAGTGAGATATTTCCCTACCTTTCCTGTGTTGAGTTCTGTTATGGCAGCGACCTATTTCCCTACCTTCTGTTAAGCTTGCGAGACATTCCCCTACCTTTCCTTTGTTGAGACGCATTATGGCAGTGAGATATTTACCTATCTATCCTATGCTGATATCTGTTATGGCAGTGAAATATATTCCTACCTTTCCTGTGTTGAGTTCTGTTATGGCAGTCAGTATCTGACTTTTGGCCTGGGTTTGTGTGATTCCAAGCTCATTGAGATCTGTGTCTGTCAGAGTAAGGAATGCTTCCATGTCCACCTACAAGTGGAAATGTTAACGAGTATAAACAAGAGGCCCATGGGCCACATCGCTCACCTGAGCAATGTGGATAGGGACTCTTTCATTTTCAATATATTTGCTATTTGACAGAATCCATAAAAATCTACAAGCAAAAATCAGTTTATTATTGAAAAGTTTAAACCCAGTAGTGGTCTAAACCAATCCTTAAAAGGGAGATGGTATGATTTGAACAAACTTGAATCTTCACTAACTCTAAGGATGCTTGCATATTTCTTTGATTACCTGTGGCTTTATTGCCCTTCACATTTGAACTTACATTGTGGCCTCGCCTTATACCCCAAGGGGTCATGACTTGAACAAAATTGAATCTACACTATCCAAGAATGCTTCCATATGAACAGGACTAATCATGGCTTTGCTATTCTTGAAAAGAAGAATTTTAAAGATTTTTTTCTACATGTTTCTATGTAAAACTTGGATTCCATGTTGTGGCCCCGTCCACTACCTGAGGATGCTTCCATAAAAATATATGATCTTTCATGCCTTTACTATTCTTGAGAAGATGATTTTTAAAGAATTTTCTTATATATTTCAATGCACAACTTTGATCAGCCATTGAAGCCTCGCCCTACCGCCAAGGTGTCATGATTTGAATAAATCTGAATCTGCACTACCTGAGAATGCTTCCATAAAAATATGATGATTCATGCCTTTGCTATTCTTGAGAAAAAGATTTTTAAAGAATTTTCCTATATATTTCTATGTAAAACTTTGATCGGCCATTTTGGCCCCGCCCTAAACCAAGGGGTCATTATTTGAACAAACTTGAATCTACACTACCTGAGGATGCTTCCCTATAAGTTCATCTTCCCTGGCACAGTGGTTCTTGAGAAGAAGATTTTTAAAGAATTTTCCTATGTATTTCTATGTAAAACTTTGAACGGCCATTGTGGCCCCGCCCTACCCCAGGGGGTCATGATTTGAACAAACTTGAATCTACACTACCTGAGGATGCTTCCCCATTAGTTTCATATTTCCAGGCACAGTGGTTCTTGAGAAGAAGATTTTTAAAGAATTTTCCTATATATTTCTATGTAAAACTTTGATCAGCCATTGTGGCCCCGCCCTATCCCCGGGGGTCATGATTTGAACAAACTTGAATCTACACTACCTGAGGATGCTTCCCTACAAGTTTCATTTTTCCTGGCACAGTGGTTCTTGAGAAGAAGATTTTTAAAACATACCATCAAATTTTCATTATTTCTTAATTATTTCCCCTTGAATAAGGGCGTGGCCCTTCATTTGAACAAACTTGAATGCCCTCCACCTAAGGATACTTTGTGCCAAGTTTGGTTGAAATTGGCCCAGTGGTTGTTGAGAAGAAGTCGAAAATGTGAAAAGTTTACAACGACGACAGACAACGGACAAATTTTGATCAGAAAAGCTCACTTGAGCCTTTGGCTCAGGTGAGCTAAAAAGCACAAAGACATTTCCTCCACTTACACGTTAACATCATAACAGCATTTCTATGAGTGTTCAAATTCATCAATTTACAGTAATATAACTTCAAATATGCATAAAACTAAAGCAAACAAAAACTTGAATAAAAGTCAGGGGCTGACAAATAGATTTTTAAGGCACTTGCCCAAGGGCAAGTGCATGGTCAAAATTTACTTGCCCTACCTGAATTTCTGCCTGCCCTACCATTAACTTATACTGTATTTATAAATATTTCAAAAAAGAGAAAGACAAATACTGAGTTTAATATTAGCATAAACATTGATTTTATTTTTGATAATTGATGAAGTCACTTGCCCACGGGCAAGTGGTAAATAAAATTTCACTTGCCCAACCCTAAAATTCACTAGCCCCGGGCGTCGGGCAATGGGATTTGTCATCCCCTGAATAAAAGTACTGCAGTTACGGTTTTTTTTTTTTTTTTGCATCAAGGTGTTTTGTAAAGATATATCAAAACACTTTATTGTTTGAAAAGTGAGGTCAAAGGGAAGGTCTATTGAATTTTATCAAGCAGTAAAATAAATAAGTATCAACACAAAAAAGTGACAAAACAAAAAAAAATATACATGTACTTTATCACAACAATCCTACCTCTTGTTCCTCAAATATGGGCTGGTACTTCTCTAAGGATAGCTTCTTCAGAATGCCAGAAAGCTCTGAAAGATAGACATTTAATAGATGGAAATTATGAAAATTGAATGCATAAAAAAAAATTTGAAATTGATCCTATTATTATGATTTAAAAATACATAATAAACAAGAAAAGAACAAATACATACCATCAGTGGTGCCATCGTTTTCATGAAGTGAACTTAGAACACGATTGGGATCTTCTCCATACTTAAATTGTAGAAGAACAAACATTTTTTTGCACAAAATATGAAACATATAAATTTCCACTTGTTTTAATATCTTTTACCAATAAATGACATTTTACAGAAAATAAATAAACACAATCGACCATCACTCTGTAGTTCCAAATTTTTTAACATGATATAAGTTAAACTCTAAGTGACAGTGTTTACTTACCTTCCCGGGAGTGGGGGAGGGAGAAGGGGTGAGGGTAGATGTGGTACTGCCTTTAGATGATGTGCTCCTCCCAAGTGATCGCTGTGGGGTGATAGATGAACTGCCACTGGTGGAACTGTTGGGTGAAGTTGTGTTGGATGTGGCTTTAAATGCTGAGGGCACCGTGGTGGGCTTTTTAAAGAATTGTCTTTGAGGGGGATTTCGAGGGGCAAAAATGGCTGGGGATTTGCTAGACTGGTTCCAGAACACACCATTCTGCTGATATTCTCCTGTAAAACCAATCTTTCAACTATCAAAAATTTTAAGCCTCACAAAACGTTTTTAAGGCCATAATATCAAAAATTTTACACCTGACAGCTGAAAAGATTGCTGTAAACATGTGTATATTTTGAAACAAGGGTCAAAACTATGACTTTTTTTTTTGATAAAATTACACCGATTGACCAGGTCAATAAAAAATCTGCAAAACTGAAAATAATAAAAAATATTAAATAAAAGCCACCCACCCGCCTCGATTTTTAAAAAAAATCGTATGAGAATCTAGCAATTTATTTATTATGGCCTAATCAAAACATTTTTTTTAATATTTAAATAGACAACTCAGTTACTCTATTAATGATCTTTTAAATAATGATTAGTGTTGCATTGACCATTGAAGATCATCAATTCTTTACCAGAGGAACTAGGACTAGGGTTGCTATGGTTACTGTTGCCATTGGACAACTGGGCTGAGCTTGATGGACTGATGGGACTGGAACTCAATGTGGTACTCTTCTGAGGCAAGAATTTCATAGGCTTCATCATTGGACGGATGGGGGATGGCTACAAATGAATGAATGAAAGTTTGAGATTCAACAAAGATAATACAATAACAATATGAAATGTTATTTTTTATCCTTTTGCATAATGTTTATTGATGAACTATTTTCTGCTGAATTCTTATTTGTAAATTTTGTTTGGCTGGCACATAGGGGGTATGTCTTGCTTATCTTTGCATAGAAAAACAGAATATCTTATAAGCACTGAACTGACCATGATTGCACTAGCAGTATCAGATCCTAAGGAACTCATTGATCGCCGGCCTGGGAGGGACTCATCGATTGCGAAGCTGGGCTGGGGCAGAAATGGAGGGATGACAGGTTTCAGGGTATCATTCGTCTGACTGGACTTCATTGGATTGATATCCTTCAAAGAACACACATCAACATCGTGACAGTTGTGAAAATGAGTCAAGCATAAAACTTTATTTGTTGCAGTATAAATTGAAGAAAGTTTGTTTTATACTTCAAACCTTCAATAATTTAGCTTTAAACCTACCAAAGTATAACGGGAGGCACTCTGCTTGTTTTCCAAAGTCATTGTTCCATAGTTAGTAACAGGTGAAGTTTGTATGGGATCAACAAAGTTGTTCACTTTCTTTGGCTGAAAAATATTATTAGTCAATAAAACTTTTGATAAAATTAAGATATGTTCTTATATGTGTATAACCTAATAAGCAATATGTACATTTGCACAATGAACTTGTTTAATAATTCTCTTTTTCTCTGAATGCTCAAAATATCATGGTGACTAATGAATATTCAAATGTTGATCTTGAAGATCATGTTTCAGATTTATAAATGTGTATGTTCTTACCACTGTGGGACTAGAGTTATTTTTGAAAGATAAATCTTGGACAGATATAGAAGTTTCCAGAGTTGGCATTGGGGCTAAACGATTCGTCACATTTATTTTCTTAATGTTTCGGAATCGGTTTGATAATCTGCTCAACCATCCCTGTTCAAAATATAAAAGTATTCTCTGAATTCATAAGCATAAATTCTTTTTTTTTAAAGAGTAAACTAAAAAATAATGTCTGGTCCAAGAATAATTTAATTCAAATCAGAAAAAAATTCACCAACCCGAAGACCTGTCTTTTGCGTATCATCAATGCTGAAAATAAAAAGTTAAATTTACCAATTTAATAAGAAAAGTACTTTCTTCACCAAGCAAATTGATAAATTCAAAATCTACTGGCTAGAGAATTAATTTGCTCTTTACATTAACTCTCTATTCCAATATCTTTGTTTTATTTAGATGAATTTCTCGGCAATGCATAAAATCTTAAGAAAGTATAAGTCCAGTATATACTGTATACGGGGAAGTTTTCGCCCTCGTTTTATTTTCGCTCCTTTCGCCCTACCTTTATTTGGGCAAATTTAAAACGGGGCGAATTCAAAGAATACAGTATAATTTCTTAAACAAAACTATGACTTGGCGAATTTAAAATGGGGCAAAATTGTTTGCAAGAGTAAAAGGGCGAAAATAAGACGGGGCGAAAATAACACTGTATACAGTTTATTTATATTCCTTCAGCCCTGATTCCGGTTATATTTCTCCATTTCTTCTACTCCTTGATTCACATACCTTGAATCTGTGGAGGCAGACACTGACACACCATTCTGTTTTGACCAGTGCTTCTTTGACTTGTCCACTTTGTTGACTGTCATGGCTTTAGAAGCCAGAAGACGAAGCAAGTCAGTGTCCACATCATCTTTAATATTATAAATACTTTATAATCTGTGCCCCTTTTTTTAAATTTCATTAAGGCTTGAAAGTTAATTGATATCAAATAATACTCTGGCACATGGAATGAATATTTCAATAATAAATATGTACCATTATGTCTATTTTATTCTTGAGGTATCTTTGAATTATTTCTTCTATGGTAAATATAAATCTTTAATTTAGAAAAAAGTTCACAATTCTTAATAATTTGGTAAAACATCAAAGAACCCACCAATGAGAGAAGCCATATCAAATGCAGTACACCCATTCTTGGCTTGAATCGTCACATCTGCACCTCTTTCTATCAGATACATGGCAACTGGTCTTCTCCTACATAAAACAAGGGAGATAATACACATGTAATAAGCCTATTAATAAATAGATCACATTTCATTACAATTTTCATCACAGTGAATATTTTTCTATGCCATATCTGCAGTAATGTTCCAGCATATGTACAATTTTTATGCATTAACAACTAGAGTTTCGTAATAACAGTCCATGGTAAATGAGAGCTTAATCTTTTCATCCATAAAATAAATTATCAGAAATAAAATGTAAATGGATGAATATATACCCATGATACGTGGCCTGCATGAGTGCTGTCCATCCACTAATGGTGTCCTGTTTGTCCATATCACAACCATGGTCCACTAGCAACTGGGCAATGTCCAACTGTCCAGCCATTGAAGCAAACATCAGAGGGGTGGCACCCTCCTCTGGGGAACAAGCATCTCTCTGACTAAGATCTTGGTCCAATATGGCTTGAATTCTCTTAATATCCCCTGAAATATCATAAAATAAGAACTTAATCATTTAACATTGAAACTTTAATAAAGTTTGAGGTGTGAAATATAATAACAAGTGATTTAAACTTACCAAATTTTATTGCTTCAATAATGTCTGGTTTCTTTTCTTCTGCAGCTACAAAACAAAAGTTATATGATATTACACTGAATGTTCCTTTTGACATTTATATAATACTTTTAAATTTGGATTATCCTTTTTGTATGTTCATGTTTTATATTGTTCTATGGAACAAACTTATTTCTAACAGGCCAATCAATTACATCAACATTATTAAGACTGGTTTTAGTTGATACTCCATTCCATTTAGACTTTGATATTTTTTCAAGTCAATTGTTGATTTGATTTGAACATATTTCATTATGTAATGAATACATAAATGCATTGGGCAGCAGGTACAGCCTATATAAGTCCTCTCCACAGGTCCTTTGTTTATACTTCACTCCATATTAACATTAATGTGGAGCCGAGTGTATAAGAAACCATTGATTTTGGGATATGAGAAGTCTTCAAAGAATCATTGTTATTTAGGTACAAATGTACTAGTATATCAAAATTAAGCTTTTCCAGAAATATTTGTCTGGTTTAAGTCCCGAATAAACAAAATATAAGTAAAAGAATAAATCTGACACATACCGGTAATATAAGTCACTCATCAGAAGTTTCTGTAAGGGTGTGTTTTACATCCAATTAGTTAAGAATTTTTTTTCATATATAGAGATGTCACCATATACCACCGAATTATAAGAGCTTCAAATTTAAACCTTTACTAGATAATCAGGGGTCTGAACATATTCCTTCATATCTCAGAGCATCCTCCACCAATACCACCTTATTAGTTTGGTTGAAATTAATTAATTATGGTAATAAAGGCAAAAATATGAAATGCATGATACATAACATACCATGTACAAAACAGAGTCACTGAGCTCAAGTGACCTATGGAATTTAAAACCTTATTTTGCAGTGTTAATTTATACAATATTAACATGTTAAATAAATTAAAAACACATGATAACTAGAATCAATAATTTTTTTACTAAATGAAATGCAGCTGACTGTAAGTGCCTGGCACACTTCAGGGTGAATTGATTGAAACTGAGCCATTGATCATGTTGATGAAAAATATTTATATATGCAATAGGGCTGGGCAATAATATCGATATTTCAATATATTGCAATACAATGACAAAAAATATCGTATCGCAATACGATTTTGTAATATCGATATATTGGCAATATGCTAAGATTAAGGAATTTTGTCATTAAATATAACAAGAGGCCCAGGGGCCACAGCGTTGAGCACAGATTTTTTTCATCATTTGAACAAACTAGAATATATAGGATGATTCCATATAAATATCACTAATCATAGCTTTGAAGTACTTGAAAAGAAGATTTTAAAAGGTTTCTCTATATATCCCTTTAGAGTAAAAACCTTTGGCCCCACCCTTGCCCTGGGGGTCATGATTTGAACAAATAATCTACACTACCTGAGGATGATTCCACATGAATTTCATGGCCCATTCTGGAGAAGGATTTTTAAAGATATTTCCTATATATTCATTCCTATGCAAAACTCGGGTCGGCCATTTTGGCCCCACCCTTGCCCCAGGGGTCTTGATTTGAACAAACTTGAATCTACACAACTTGAGGATTATTCCACATGAGTTTCATCTTTCCTGCCTCAGTGGTTCTTGAGAAGAAGATTTTTAAAGATTTTTCTTATATAAATAAAACTAATTTTAATTATGATTTGAACAAACTTGAATCTACAAAGGATTCCACAAAATGAGAAGAAGATTTTTAAAGATTTTTCTTATATAGTCCAATGTTAAATGCCATTTTACATAACAAATGAACTACACTGTCCACAAAACAGATTTTTAAAGATTTTTCCTATATCACTGAGCTCAAGTGACCTATGGAATTTAAAACCTTATTTTTTGCAGTGGTTTGAGAAGAAGATTTTTAAAGATTTTTCTATATATTCCTATGTAAAACATGCTAAATAAACTACACTAAACACATGATGAACTAGATTTTTTAAAAATGCCATTAATTTTTAATAATTTTTTGATCCCCTTAAATGAAATGCAGCTTGAGAAGAAGATGAAAATGTGAAAAGTTCACAACGACAACGACTATGACTTGTAAGTGCCTGGCACAAACTTGACAGAAGTTGTTTTGTGAACATTTGATTGAAACTGAGCTGCATGTAAATTAAAGTAAATATAAGAAAATGTCATTTAAATTACATTGAAAATATTGCAATACATATCGCAATACAGTTACAAATATCGCAATATATCGCAATACGAAATCTCGGGCCAATACCCAGCCCTAATATGCAAGAACATTGACCATGTTGAAAGAGCAAATGTACAGTAAATGAATTTAAACAAACCCACTAAATTATTGAATTTCTTAATAATAATACAAAGACATTATAAAGCATTATGCCACTGTACTTTAAATCTTGAAATAGAAAAATAACACCTTTGTTGTTTATCTTGGGACACAATCAGGGAACTGTACACAGCTGCAATCCCAATACAAATGAAGTGTTCACTCAATCAATACCGCCAAATAATGATTTAATTTCTGTAGCTGTCAAACTTGAAGCATAAAGTACATTACCTCCAAAAGGACTTAAAATAACAGGAATCAGTATATCTTTTAAATGTTTTTGTATATTTTGATTATATTGCTTATTGGATATTGAAAAACATATACTTTACTAAGTATACATGATTATATAGTTAGGATTATTATTATTTTATGATTAATCACTTAATTAAGAAAACACAAAATGACACCAGTACAACTACCTTAACTTAATAACAAAACATAATGGACTAATAGAGTTTTTTAACAAAAATTTTCACTTGATATTCTTCAGAGGAAACATCAACATGATCAATGTATGTATATTAGATACTGTAGTTTCTGGGTTGTTATGTAAAGATAGTTTTATTAGTATGAGTGTTACTTGTTTAGAATTCAATGAACTCACATTTCATCTGGGCAAGTCTTAAAGGAGATACAATGCTATTGAAAAACAAGTAGGAACAGAGTTACCTGCCCTGTCTAACCTTTGATCAACACACATACAATATTGAATACAAACACAGGTTGCTGTGTCATGAGAAGTTTCTAGATAAATTTTTCAAGTGAATTCTGATAATTTGAACAGTCCAGTCCAATACGAAAATTCGTAATATTACGAAAAAACGTAAGATTACGAGAAAGCGTAATATTACAAGTTATCGTAATATAAAACTTATATTACGATTTTTCGTAATGTAGTTAAATTACGAATATGCGTAATATAGCAGATGTAAGAGACTATATTACGTGTTTTCGTAATCCAAGACAAATTCAAGCATTGCAAGAAACTGAGTGGCGGGTAGCAAAGTATGGCGTTTAATACGAGATGTCACGGGCGATAACTTGTACGACGCTTACTGAGATTTGAATTCTGTGTATTTCAATAAGAATTGCACGAAGAGTTGAATTATGAGACGGGGGTGTGATTTTTAGGGTAGACTTCGCAAGAAAAGTAGGGAGTTCGGGTGATATAGACCAATGCGACATGCTTAAGCGAATATTGAAATTTACTGGAAAATTGGTCTTATACGTGGGAAAATTCCTATAAAAGAATAATAAAAGAAATTGTCCACTCACCCGTCGCTGGCTAACTTTTGATGAACACACAGGCGTAACTGACCAACGCGTGCTATCATATTGATATATTACAAACTTTGCTACCCACCACTCAATTTCTTGCAATGCTTGAATTTGTCTTGGATTACGAAAACTCGTAATATAGTTTCTTACAATCTGCTTTATTACGGGTATTCCTAATTTAACTACATTACGAAAAATCGTAATATAAGTTTTATATTACGAAAACTTGTAATATTACGAATTTTCGTATTGGACTGGACTGTTGAATACCGGTACATGTTATTTTAGTACAATTGTGCAAACAAGAACAATGTTTCCTTTATCATGTTTATGGCGACAATAATTTCTAACAAAGCATTCAGGGAATACCCGGATATACAATCTTCAAGGGATATAGTACCTGTTAACAAATTTAATGGCCACTCAGTGGGCCAGTCATTGTAACATACAATGTTACCATGGAATGGGAATATAAGGAATTACTGTCTAGTTAGTAGAGTATGCCAGGGACATCAACGATAGTTGGAAACATGGGTTAATTTAAGCATAATGGTCTTCGCCCTTTATGCAAACTATCCCATGTTTCTAACTATTGTTGTTGGCATACACTACTAAATAAACAATGATTCCTTAAATATAAAGCTCAATCAGTCCAACTTATTCTTTTCCCTTAGTTCGTCTGTTAATTTCATCACAGCATACCTTTTTTCCACTGAGCTTTTAAGTGTCACTGAGCACTTTAGAAAACTGTTTACCGGTAATTAAAGACGAATTTTGTGTGTGAAATGGCCATTTCAATTAAAAGGTTATTTTCCTTCTGTATACCTGGTTAAAGTATTTTACCACATTTACCAATTGGCATAAAATCAACTGACTAATACTGATCATATTTAATTACCATCTTTCAAAACTAGAGAGAAAAACCTACCCCTCTCAGGTTTGTTGGTAGTTTTTCTATCCAGGTAGGCAGCTACTTCTCTCTTCATTCTCATTGTGGCAATATCCAGGGCTGTTCTGTTATTGGCGTTAGTCACGTTAGGATCAGCTCCTCTCTCCACCAAGATCTGGGCCGTCTTCATGTGGCCATTTAATGCTGCCACCATCAGTGGTGTTAAACCTGAAGTAGACGTCCTAAAATTCACATCACAACCGCGATCCAGCAAGAATCGTAACACTGCATCGTGTCCATACAGAGCCGCTGCCAGTAGAGGCGTAAAATCACACTCATTAGCACCGCCCGACGTAGATAGCTCTATACCAGCCTCCACTAACTGTCGCACCACCTGAATATGTCCACCTCTGGCAGCAAAAGTGAGTGCTGATGCACCAAGACCTGTGATGGCATTAATGTCTGCTTGACGTTGCTGCAATAATGTTGCAACCACATTGGCATGTCCATTTCTAGAAGCATGCATAAGAGGAGTCCAGCCATAATTGTTGGTTTTATTAAGAGCAGCCCCTCTCATCAATAATAAACGTACAATATGGTCATGTCCATTAGCTGCCGTTGTCTAAAAATAGATTAAAATAACCTCAATAATGGACACCAAAAATATGTGTGTTCAATACATGTGATACATGATAATTTTAATCTTTTACATTTACCAACCGAAGATTACCTTTTTTGATTTTTAGCAATAACAAGATTAGCATTCATTGCCTTGGTCAACATCATACTTGAAGTATTCCAACATGTTAAATTTCATAAGTATATTTTAAATATAATTTTAAAAGACATTGCTGCAAGTTCATTTATTCATCACATAGGAACTCAAACTTTTTTTTAACATACCTATCAGCGTGATTATTTCATTTTAGAGTATTCATCAATTTCTTTTTCTTTTAATTTATTTCGTAAATGGTGTCTAGACCTGTTCAGTATTCAACATGTCTAAAAGTAAAAGCAGCCCAACAGCTGATCAGCTGGTAAATCAGCCGAATGTGATGGGGCTTCCTTTCAATCCAGGTTCAGTGAAAAATTCCAAAAATAAAACAATCAGTAATTCTCCGTACCTGAAGAGGCGTGATCCCCACCTCATCATCCTCGCAGTCCACATCAACCCCTTCATCTAACAAGGTTTGGACTACAGGGGCTTCCCCGTGTTCACAGGCGCCAAGTAGTTGTCGAACCCTTTCCATGGGGCTCTATCACCAAAATTATCGTTCGTATTTACCCATGATTGTATATGACTATCTCAAAGTGAAACATAATTCAATCTTTTCGTCACATCGTCAAGTTCGTCTTTTCTTTTCACTCATTGTCATTTACTTGTCACTATGTTCGCCATTTTGGTTCCGCTCGTGACGTCATTTTTACCAAAATGCTTTTCGGTAAACATTGCCACGTGCTCTCTGTCAACACTTTACGACGAAGGGGATCTATAGCCCGCTCCAGTTTCATCATTTGGGGACTAATTAACAAAGTCAAACCTATATTTAACAAGAGGCCCAAAGGCCTTCACAGTCACCTGAATTTAATGTAAATCTGTAAAAGATCCATTGATATTCAATTTGATCATTGCTGCTCACAAACAAGGAAGCAATCAGTTGATCACCAAAATACAGTGAAAACTCGTCAAAGTCAGATGTGTATTCCAAAATCTTGTCCAATATGGTGTAAACTTCAAGTCTCTTAATTTCAAGCATTTCCAATCATTTTAAATGTTGTTTAATCAGGAGTGTTGTCTAATTAGGCCAATTTCTTTGGAATAGTGGTGATTGGATTAGACAAGTTTAACTGTAGTTGGTTTCTGTCTGTGGTAATCTGTAACCACTCTACTTGCCTGTACATGTACATGTATGTGGTAGTGCTACCTACTTCGAAATTACTTCTCATGGGGGTTTAATTTTCCTTGTTTTCGAGGTATTAAGAGACCCTCAAATTCATGTCCATCCCAAAATTAAACATGTAATGTTATACATATATAACTAATCAACAATTCTTCATCCATGAAATCAAATTAAATCCCCCAAAAGCAAAACTGAAGAGTTTTTCCTCAAACCACGAAAATTTGACCCCACAAAAATATGTGATTTTACAGTATACTTCTATTTGACACTAGTGTTAGTAATCCTAATATAGGGTTTTAGCAAAAATTCTGGGCTTTTCTTCAAATATTGTTTATGGTACAAAATTAAATATTTTCAAAGTACTTTTGCCTGATGTTTATTTATTTTTTACACATCCACCGTAATGCTTCCCTGATAAGTCTCAAACTTTATGCCTTTGCAACTCACAATGTTTTATGTCTTTACACTGTAGCAAGTCTACAAGATTATAACAACACATGAATTCCACTTGTTTTTTCATAAAAAAAAACTGTTATAAGCACCAAGGCAACTAATTTAGTCACTAATTAGATGACATTTATTAGTCAGACTTTCAGGATCTCAACTAGAATAATGGTTAAACAAGGTTATGCAATTTATATCTTTGTCTTCATCAATAATACCAATTCTAAGTCAAGGTAAAAATTTCTTGTTTGAATATTAATTAAAATTCCTTAATCAATTTTTCAACTTAACTTCTAGTAATATTTTTCTGCAAATACATAATAAATGTATATTAAAATAATTTAAGTATAAATATACGACTTGAATTGCAATATCAATTCATCGAGTAAACACAAACAAATCTAGAACACTTTTTAAAGGTTAATAATTTATTTTTGCTCCACATCGACAGGTGCTTTTGTGTGTGACTGGTTTTCTATGTCTAATTTATCTTCTTTCTCAGCGTCATTTAGCTGTACAGGTAGCAGGTCTCCCCACTGTGACTCACAAGCCATGCGATACAAATCCCTGAAAAAAATGTAAACAGAAGTTTAGAAAATAAAATACAAGATAAAGAATTCTTTATTCTTTCTTCTTTCCCCCAAACTGATTACATGTAAATTGTGTCACAGAAACTGCCCTGCCACTAGGCATTCTACATTACATGTACTTTACTTGATGCACGTATTTGAATTTTCTGTCAGAGAGTGACAAGAGAGGGATCACAAGTAAGAATTACTGCCCTTTACTTTCAGTGATATTCCATCACAGTGACAAGAGTGAATACTTTAAAAGATATTCTATTAGAGTGACAAGAGTGAATACATGTAAGAGTTACTGCCCTTTACTTTCAGTGATATTCTATCAGAGTGACAAGAGTGAATACAAGTGAGAGTTACTGCCCTTTAATTTCAGTGATATTCTATTAGAGTGACAAGTGTGAATACATGTAAGAGTTACTGCCCTTTACTTTCAGTGATATTCTATCAGAGTGACAAGAGTGAATACAAGTGAGAGTTACTGCCCTTTAATTTCAGTGATATTCTATTAGAGTGACAAGTGTGAATACATGTAAGAGTTACTGCCCTTTACTTTCAAAGATATTCTATCACAGTGACAAGAGTGAATACATGTAAAAGTTACTGCCCTTTAATCTCAGTGATATTCTATCACAATGACAAGTGTGAATACACGTAAGAGTTACTGCCCTTTAATTTCAGTGATATTCTATCACAGTGACAAGAGTGAATACATGTAAGAGTTACTGCCCTTTAATTTCAGTGATATTCTATCAGAGTGACAAGGGTGAATACATGTAGAGTTTTTAAAGTGAGTGAGTTGGAGAGTGACTACACCTTCCTTTATAAACTTTTTCTACTAGAGAAGAACCAAGAGTTATTGTCCTTTACTTTCTATGATATTTCTTCCAAAGACAGAGTCTGTCCAATAATTTGTAGAGTTTTCTAAAGACAAGGAGTGCTTGTCCCTTACTTTCCGTGTCTTTTTCGGCTTATTATCCGGTTTTTCAGACTTCCGTCTTGACAGCACACTACACAGTGAGCAATCTTCTTCTTACTCTGCTCATTTACGTCCTGGAAGACAATTCTTGGCCATGTGTTTGTTATGTCTACAAACATCAAAGTACATTAATTATATTTCAGTTAAACAACAATAAACTTTGTCCAATGTCTACATTAGAGTATAGGTACATGTATTTTTAGATGCAAACACATGCAATTAATTTAATTGATGATTTATATAATATAGAAAACAAATATTAATGAATAAAAAAAAATGTTTAAAAAAATTACTTGTGATTTTAAGATGTTTAATAATAGAGATAAAGTATTTAAATGTATCTACCTTCAACTAAATCACCTCGCTTGAAAGTGACGAAGCTGTATCTTTCTGTTGCAAAGATTTTGTGTTGCTGCTGACAAATAAGACAACAAGATTAAAGTTACTGCAATTTAACTTGAACAATTTTTTCCATCTATACATAAGAAAAGATTCAATTTATACTGTTTTGCAGTTTTTCCATGATATCATATTATATACCTTTCTAAAGACATAGATAGACATGCTTGACAGGGAAAAATTGATTTTTACATAGTTTAATACTAGCACATTTAAACCATTTAGTTTAATAAATTTTCCTGTGCACAAAAAAATTTCTGTAACAAGTTACCTCCCCTCTCCTTGGTTGGTGATGAACCTGAAAATTACAGGGTAATGTTTCTGGACCACATTTAAATTTAGGGCAGTGTTGATTATGTGGACACTGAAACAGCAAAGTACAATGTATATAAATATTTCTATACATTAAAAATTCTTTCCTGCAACTCTTTCATATTTTATTTCCTAAAACTTTCATTTTAAGAAATTGATTTTTTTTTTGGGGGGAAAAAACTTTTCAATAAATGACAAAAAGTAACTTCCAAGTACTTATCACATGGAAAATTATATCTTGAAAATTAATATAATGCTAAAGTATGTAAAAATAAAACACAGATAACACAAAACAGAAATAATAAACATGAATAAATCATATTTACATACAGGAGCAAATATATTCACATCCATTTCATCAACATCTACCCCTTTGTCTCTCTGAAATAAGAGAAAATACAATTATCTGGGTACTGTTATTTGGTAATTTACTGTATATGAATTAGACTATAATATGAACAAACTCAAATTTACACTAGAGATTCAATCTTCAGCAAGTTTGTCCATGTGTTTTTTGATTCACAGAAGTCTGTTTTCTGCACTCACCCTTAAGAGTCTTCGGCGAGCTTCTTGTATTGCCAGAAAACCATTATATGTCCCAACATCCACTAAAACCTTACAGAAATCAAATGGAGAAATGGAGAGTCTACTGAGATTTCAATTTTGGCAACTATCAAGTTTTATTTTTTTTTGAAGAAATCTGTCATAATAATGCTTAATGAACTAACTTCAAGGAGATTTCAAGGAAAATATATTATAATGTACATGTATAAGAAGTTTAAATAAAAGAAAATTTCATCAATAAAGATAAAGAAAAAAGATACCAATAAAGCTTACAAAATAATTATTAGTTCTGCTCCAGAGATCTTTGACTAACTGTAGCCGTTCACTCTGCATAGGAAAGTCCATTAAAGTATAGGCACAGATCACCAGGGAGAAACCACCCTATAAACAATGGAAAAACTGACGAAAGTCATAAAAACATTGACTGAAGCATGTCTTACTTTACTGTTGTTCATTGGCTCTAAATCTTTCTTTACAGGATGTAAGTAAACTCACACTTTGGACTGATGGCAGTTTGTCTCTGAAGAAGACATTGGGTATCACCATGTTTTGTCTGTTTACATCACCCTCTGTGAAAAAAAAAATCCATATAAATACAAAAGCAGATTTTCAGCAATTTAGTTTTAAAAAAATTGAAGCAACATGCATATTTGCATAGTGTAATCACAACCAATATTTACATGTATTTTTTTTCTACCTTTTAATATGCGAGCAGCCATTTTGTTCATTTCCATGGCGTTATCCACACAGTAGAACTGTTTAACTGTCTGTGGCCAGACTGTGTTGGTTGCCCTGTAATGCAGACAAATAAGATAAAATAATGACATATTAAACATAAAAAATACATGTATTTCTGTTTAAATTGCAAAAAATATTCATGTACGTTCATACATCCATACAAAATTGAGTATTTGTGTTGTACATAGTCAATAATGCCTTGAACTTATGTATATTTACTATGGATAATTGTTTTTTTCATAAGTGTGGAATGAAAAGCATTTTTCAGTTGTAGATGTAAGTTACAACAATGCCTCCAACACAAGCTTAAATTGTCAGTAATCATTAGCTCAGTCTAATTGAAATTAAATGTTAGATCCGCTCGCATACTGGTACTCGCTACACTAACATCTAACAACATCCCATCGAGGGTCACGTCAGAGGTTAAATTCGGATTCTTGACTTATTCGCTTCAACAACATACGATGATTTTGCAGGCGATAATTTGATCGGTTGATAGAGTTTGAACTCTGAAGTAACACTCTATGGGATATTGTTAGATGTTAGTGAAGCAAGTATGCAAGTGGATCTAACATCTAATTTTAATTAGAGACAACAATGTGTCACAAAGAGGAAGTTTTGAGTTTATAAAATTAAACTCTATAGACATCTTACCAGATAGCAGAGCCTATTCCTGACCCCATGTTCAACACACTCTCTGGCACAAAGTCAGGGTCACGTTTTCTTATCTGTACAGAGTGAAATTCAATTTAAACAACAATGTAAATTAAACATAGGTAATCAGAGATTACAGAGCTCACCTCAACGAATGTTTAAGTAAGGCAAAGTCACACAATTAACCAACAAAAAGTGTACAAAAATGAAAATATTCATGCAATTTTGATCTGATACTTTGAAATAGACCTGTATAAAAAATTCAAACTAGTTCTTCTTCATGAAAATGTAACTAAAATCCAGCATCTGAAGCAAATTTGAGAGTTTTCATCCCTTGATGCATCATTTGTGCAAGTTTGGTTTATACAATGTTATATAAGCCTTAAAGCATTTTGGTAATTGACCTGCACCCATAACTTTTACCTGGTCCATTATCTGAAAAATGTATGTTGAATTCAACATCCGAAGCAAGTCCATTAGTGTGCATCCTAAGATGTATCGTCCATGCAAGTCTGGTCATTAAAGAACTCATAGTTACTTGGAAATGAATCATGCACCAAAAACTTTAACCTGTTCACTCAACCAGAAAATGTAGGTCAGATTCAGCATCTGAAGCAAGCCTAGTAGGATGCATCCTTAGACGTATCATCCATGCAAGTTAAGTCATCATAGGGCTCATAGTATATTAGAAATGAGACCTGCACCAAAAACTGTAACCTGTTTACTCAACCCGAAAAAGGTCAGATTCAGCATCCGAAGCAAGCCTGGTAGTATGCATCCTTAGATGTATCATCCATGCAAGTTTGGTCAAATTAGGGCTTATAGTTACTTGGAAATGAAACCTGCACCAAATACTTTAACCTGTTCACTCAACCGGAAAATGTAGGTCAGATTCAGCATCCGAAGCAAGCCTGGTAGTATGCATCCTTAGATGTATCATCCATGCAAGTTTGGTCATTATAGTGCTCATAGTTACTTGAACACACTGTTCTCTAGGTCAGATTCAGCATCCAAAGCAAGTCCATTAGTGTGCATCCTAAGATGTATCGTCCATGCAAGTTTGGTCATTATAGTGCTCATAGTTACTTGGAAATGAGACCTTCACCAAAAACTTTAACCTGTTCACTCAACCGGAAAATGTAGGTGAGATTCAGCATCCGAAGCAAGCCCGGTAGTGTGCATCCTTAGATGTATCATCCATGCAAGTTTGGTCAACATAGGGTTTATAGTTCCTTGGAAATGAGACCTACACCAAAAAGTGCACCAAAAATGTTAACCAGCTCCAAAAACATTAACCTGGTCATTCCTCTGCTGAAATTGCAGCATCTGAAACTTTGACTGGTACAATGAAACACACTAGAAGGATCTTCCATGCATGTCTATTCAATATAGGACACAGAAGTATTTAAAAAGAAAACTGCTCCAAAAAACTTAACCTGGGACGCCGACACCGACGCCGACGCCGACACCGAGGGTATTACATAAGCTCCCCCAACTTCGTTGAGGTGAGCTAAAAACAGTATTTATCAAGGTATGCTTCTTCAAGGAATAAAATAACTATTTTCAAATTAAATACTTTCATTTCAAAGATTAAGGTTCGATAACCCTCTGATAAGGGAAATAACTGTCACTGGGATTTTAATGACTTTTTACATGTACATCTATTCTTAAGTGAAAGGATGATAATTGTCACAACCTATACTGATACATGTATATGCTCTTTAAATAAATTAGATTTCTTTGGAAAACCATCAACATTAAAGCTAAATTTTGAACAATAAAACAAAGGGATGATGGAATTACTTTAATTAATGTAGAGAAAACTGATACCTCAGTAAGACACTGGGTTAATACACTGTAGTTTGGGATCAGTCTGGCATTTGTATATTTCAAAGCAAAATCTGCATTGTACCTGTAAATACATTGGTTTTTGATCTTTAATTTAAGTTTGTTGTGATGCATGATTAAGTATCACTTATATACTGTAACATAGGTCTGTTTTGATTGGTTGTTAACTTACACTATAGGTTTGTTGTGGTGGGTGGTTCTTCGTAATTCTCGTTTTATGTTATCCAGAACATTCAGCTGTATTTGTCTTAGTGCCTTCTCATCTTCTTCAGTCAGAGAATCTGTATTTACTAGTGCTAAATTCACAAATTGAAACTTTTTTTCACAGAAATAATAACTTACATATCTGAGTGATTACATATCAGTCACTACTCTCTAATATTTCATATGTCTTTTTCTTTTTACAAACTATTGCAAGTACATGTATATAAATATTAATCTTTTTCGAAGAATCCCTTCAACTTAATTTATCATTTAGCATACATACTGAGTAAGTAAAAACCTTGACAAAATATTTCATGTGCTTGTTGTTACCTTCTAACTTTGTGCGTTGTTTGACAGACAGTCTTTGTATGATTTCTGGTTCCAGGCGCTGGGCTTTAGCTGTCAGGGACAAGATCGTCTCTGGAAATCTACGAGCGGTCAGCTGATTGTAGAGCGTCATACCTTCTTCATTCAGTGTCTTATAACCAGAATCTAAACATAACATACTTTTCTCAGTGAAAAAGTTAATAATATCGATAAATTTTCAAATCAACAAATTGCATTTTTTACATGTGAAAATACATATGATAGACTGATAGTAGAACAGTCAGCAGTGCTTGACTAATGTTATTATCTAAAATTACTTACATTGTATTTATAAAATAGGTGCAACATTTGTAGACTTTAATGACAAATGTAAAGATAAGCCTACAAAAAAATATTTGTATACCTTTGTAAATTACATCAAGTGCCTTTTCCATTAATTTGGGAATTTCTATGACCTTTCTTGACCTAATGACCCCTGGATGTTTTTTGTACTTCGGGCCTTGCTCTGTTACTTGGATTTTGTCCATTGCAGCAGGATCTACTCTGGCATTGTTTGGGAAAAGTCTGGGAGATGCCAGAATGGATGGCTTTATTGGTTTATTTTCAGCGGTCCATTCTACTCTTGGGAAATTCCTAGATGAAGTTTGGGTCATGCGGTCTTCTTCTGAACTGTCTGTATTGTTCGAGCCATTTTCATTCATTGAATTATGTAGGCTACATCTTATCTATAAGAAGATTGTTAACATGTTAATGCAAAGTAAATTTTCAAAGTTCCCTGATCAATCATCAAGTGGTGGAAAAGAGTGGTTTGGTTCTGTCATATATTCATATATCTATAATTGAGCATTACAAACTCAAAAAGAAAAAAGTTTATGCAGCATTCATTGATCTGAAAAAAGCATTTGATACTATTTGGAGAACAGGTCTATTTTACATACTTCTAAAAAATGGTGTTCCGAAGAAAATTTTCAATGTGATATATTCTATGTATGCAAGCACCACGAACAAAATAAAGTTTCATGAGGGGTTAAGTGAACCCTTTATATCTCAAAGGGGTGTTAAACAAGGTGATGTATTAAGTCCCTTACTTTTTAACATTTTCATAAACAAAATTGTTGATGAATTGAATAGTATCGATTCTGATCTGATATTGGTAAAGGACACAAAAATACACTGCTTATTATATGCAGATGACTTAGTTTTGTTGTCAAGTAGTCCAGATGGTCTACAATGTGGCCTTAATACTCTTGAAAATTATTGTGTTAATTGGAAGTTTGAGATTAATACATCAAAATCAAAAATTCTTGTATTTAATTCTAATGGTAAAACCTTTTTAAACCATTTTACTATTAATGGTATCTGTATTGAAACTGTTGACAAATATTGTTATCTTGGTATAAATCTTAAATGTAATGGCAAATTTAATCTTGCTGCAGCTCGGTTAGTTGATAAAGCCAGAAAAGCATATTCAAGATAAAGAAATCCCCCGGTTTACATCATTCCTGTCAATTGCTTGAAAAATTATTTGATACTATGATAATTCCCATTTTGCTTTATGGAAGCAAAGTTTGGGGTATTGACTTTGTCCAAAAAAATTCTGGCTCAGCATCTTATGAAAAATTTCATATCAAATTTTTAAAAGAAATCTTAGGAGTCCATTGTAAAACTTCAAATAATGGTTGCTATTCTGAACTCGGAAGACTCCCAGTCAGATCAAAAATAATTATGTTTGCTATCAAATACCTTGATCATTTAATTTAAATGGAACATATACTGGCACATGAAATTTTTATCAAAACTAAAGAAACTAACACATGGTCTCTGTGTTTAAAAACTTGTCTTAATAACTTAGGATTTTCTTCTTTAACAATTTTAAATATGTCAATGAAACCAGTGCTTGGCATTATTAAACAACGCATTCATGATCAAATATTACAAGAACAAAATGCAAGTATTATGAATTCCTCAAAACTGTCTTTTTATCAGAACTTTTGTCTTAATAATAAAACATTATGTTGACAAACATTGCATGATAGACAAACAAAAATTAGAGTCACTGCTGAAAAAATTGGGTAGGTAGGTAGGAAAATTATTTAATTTTTTAAATTTATTTTGAACTATTTTAAAACCAAATTAAACATGTCATAGGTCATTTTTGGAAGCAAAAATGAAATACCACATGAATATAAGTGCACATAAAAACTTAGAAATTGAAAAAGGTAGAAATGAAAAAGGTATGTTGAAACTAATTAAAATGATAGGATATGTAAAGTATGTCAAAACTTTGATATTGAGGATGAAAAACACTTCATTTTGCTATGTCCAAAATATGAAGCACAGAGAAAAATATTCAAAACAAAATTATCCACTTTCCCTAACTTTAACCAAACAATTGATAATAATGACAAATTGTTAAAAGTATAAATGAATACTAGTTGTAAAAAGGTTCTTAAAATATTATCATCATTTTTATGTCAAATATCTGATATAAGAAAAATACTTTAGTTATAAATGAGTAACTACATTGTACTGAATCATATGTATGTATTTAGTATCTGATAAGTACAATACATAATTTGCTACACCAATTGTTTGTATTCTAGTTGTGTTCTACTGTATTTTCATACTTATCACTATGTTTTCTATGGGCCTTTACCAACTACTGTAATTGTGTTTGTGCCAATAAAATATTTGTATTTGTATTCATGGTGTGAGCATAAATTCTCATGACTGACTGTGAAACAAATCATTTCAAGGCAACGGTTAATAAAGAAAATACCTGTATTTGTTCTTTTCTTTGTAGAAATCGTGCACAAAGTCGACAAATTCGGACTGACATGGTTTGCGTTAAGGGGGCTGCCATCTTTGTTTTTATAACAAATAGAACCATTTTGTACAAACCTCTAAATTCCGAATTTTACGAACGTCCATAAAGACTGACCATTTTTGAGAAAAAAAAAATCTATTGAAAGATGGCTCTAAGTTATTATAGGTGCACTTTCTTGTATCAGTCATGAAAATAAATAAAAATATTAAAATCCGGAAATGATTTCAAGTACTACGTTAATGTAGCTACAAGTACAAGGGGGTGTGTATCGATCGTTAAAAAAAAGATAAACATCGAATATTAAAATGACGAATACAACTTCAAACATCGTTACCATTTTAAAAGAACAGAATATAGGTAACTCTCTCCCTCTTTCTCTCTCTCTCTCTCTCGTTTACTTTTATTGATTTGACAGCTTATTGCAATGTATATATGTCAGTGTTCTATATTAGCTATCCTTATTTATATCCAACAGGACTGACTGTCGGGGTATCAACTCTCCTCCTCATAAGCTACTTGTTCATGGCATACATAATATACCGTCCATATAAAGGTAGAGCCAATGCCCCGCCCACCTCTCCAAGTCCAGTGTTGTAACAACTACTGATCGAGGACAATCGTAAAATTTTATTTGGTTCGACCAAACGTTTGATTTCTAATGACATTTTAGAAATTGAAAAGAGGAATTCAGGAGCAGGATGCCAACATACCGATACTCTTAATTGATGACGATGAAGGAGTTGCTGTTAATTAACAGCGATCACGATTTTTGTAACTTACTGACGGTCACTACAATCATATACATATCTGTCGATGTATACGGTTGTTTAATTATATATTGCCAGGTGATCAGTAACATGCACATTTTTTCACAATTGAAGTCTTTATTATGGGAGTGAATTATGGTTTTAAAAAGCTTTGAACTTTCTTAAGATACGGACCAAGGCCCCTTTCCAATTTTTTTTCGACAAGCAATCGCAGGTACTTGTTTCTGTAATAAATTTTTCAACCTATTTTTATTATGGGTATTTTTTTCCTTTGCCCCCCCCTCCCCAACCAACTTCAAAAGATCTGTCTAATGGATTAATCCATTACCTTTTTTACTTAACTAAAGAGGAGAACGTATAATCGCAAAACATATAGGATTCATGAATTGATGTAATGATTAAAGGTTTATATGTGTGATTTAAGATTGAATTGTTTAAGATTAATGAAATGAAATTCCAGAAATTGTTTGTACATGTTTAATATATTGAATTAAAAATTATATATATTTTGATGACAGTAGAAATAAACAGTTTCCACCTGCATATGGAGTTAATGTTTCCTAAATGTTTTGAAATACAAGTATATATACTGGGAACAATTTCAAAAAACATGACAGAATTTTGTCAAAAAGTTGATGATGCAAGGATATCAATAATCTCATCAAACGTCAACATTACATTTAGCAAATTCTATGGTCGAAACAATGGTCTTGAAGGAAATACAATCTGCACGTCGTAGGGTTGAATGCTGACTGACGTTTTTCATACCAATTGTTAGGCCATTTTCACACTGATGTTTCGTTTATTCGATCATGGCAAAGAGCACACAATGGGTGTGAGCTTCGACAGGGGCCGTTTACTCCTCCATGCCACAAGACCCCATCTGTTTTACATTTGTAAGCTATAGTAAAAACATCATGCAGTAAATGAAAAGAATTCAAGTAGAAAACAATTGTATTCTTTAATGCATTTAAACATGATAAAAGTTTCTATATGAAAATATATTTTCTCTGATATGTTAATTAGAATTGTCCATGAAATCTTTTTGATACAATTATCTAAGGTTACGGTTTCTTTTCCGATTCCTTTCTTCCAAGTAAAACAAACACGGGCCATGTTATGGTAATCTTTTGGTCCTGGTAAATATTTTCCAATCTAAAATTTTAAACAAAAAAAACTTATTAATAAGCTATATGCAAAAAAATATATATAAAATCATATCTCAATCAATTTGATTTTAATCAGATTGATATCTCAATTTAAATATCATCTTTATACTAATAAAAAAATTCATTATCCTTAACGTTCCCCGGAGATATTACTGTTTTACTCTTTCCTCCAACTTACATTTTAGAAGCTCTTTATATCTACGTTTAGTTCTAATACAATTAGGTGCTTGTTCAATTTCTTATTAGATAAATACCACATCCAGCATGTATTTTGATCCCTGCCAGGTGACCACTGTCCCACAACGTCACTGACTGACCACATGTTCTGTATGACGAAGTTGGAGATCCCCCCCCCCATTTTCCCGGAATATATATTATCTCTTTAATGAACTTCATTATTCAGAAAAAATAGGATATCTAATTATTACCGATATCTAATTATTATCTAACTATTATATACACCTGAAAAGAAACGTAGTATGAAAATCCGACATTTCTATCATTTCTTTGCATTTTTACAGTAGACATATAATGTTGATTTTACGAACTATAATAAAAGATATAATGACGTACCTCTCCGATCCGGTAAATGGAAGATTTATATCCTGATACAGATTTTCAACATGGCGTCTCCTTGTGTCCCAGAACCCTTCCAGGTCATAACTGTAAAACTGATTAAAATAAACATACTTTAATTAGTACCAGATTTTCTCATGAGCTTTTTTTTAATTTTTGTTACATTCAGGAAGATAAATATCGCTACAAGAAGCAAAAATACCTTTTCTATGATCTTGTTGCCATCCTTACTATTAATTGTACTATTCCCGTACCCGTAAACTACCAGACAACCACCAGGTCTCAAAATTCTAGAAGTCAAGAGAGACATCGTCGGAAACCCACGGGTGATCTCGTCTTTACTTATCAAAGACGAGATCACCCGTGGGTTTCCGACGATGAGAGAGAGAAAAAAAACGCGGGAAAGTGATGCGTTTATAGACGTGCAATCTATTCTAAGTAAGATTATTACAGTTCTCATATTATCTTGGACTTTCAGTAAGGCGTGGTTTTCTCGGCGCTAAGTAATGGCGAATACTAGTAGATTCTCATTGGTTAAGAAATGAATAACATCAGAAACTTTAAACTGTTGTAGACAACGATGATTATGTCCCACCTCTGTGTCGTGAGAGAACTTGTCTATTTACTACACCAGTTGACATTCGGCCGAATTTCTGTCCTATGTACATTTCAACAGTGAAGGAAAGCTGTGTAAACAGAAGCTAATTAGGTAATGTCGAGAATACCACGCCTTACTGAAAGTCCAAACTAAGCTGATAATTGTCCTATTTCTCCTGCTGCTCAGAAGTCTTTTTTTCTCAAGATAGTAACTTTTTAATAAGAAAAAATTTAATACGCAAGGAGAAAGAAAGCTTCCTATCATCTAACTGTTCCTATCAAACAACTTTAAAGTTAATGAAATAAAACTGCAAAAATATCTTTAATTTTCAAATTAACGAATGGGGTACCTGTATTAGTTTACACGAGTAAGCAATAAGGATATTACTATCACAACTAAGGACAAAAAACAGTAATATAAAACATCAAGACGTCTAAGAATTCCATATGATCCCACCTTGTCACTTCCTTGTAGAATGGTTCCGGTTCTATCCAGTGCATTGCCTGAGCAACCGTAACCAGATCGACGCTGGAATCGGACAAGAACTCTAGCCATTCTCCATGGCTGGTGTGAAACACCAAGTTACTTTGACCGTGTGTTTGTCGTGCTGTGTTTATCTGGGTCTCACTAACATCCACCCCGATCACTTTATTGAAGTATTTACAGAGCGGGAGGGTGCTTAAACCAGTCCCACACCCTACATCAACCGCCGTATCTAAACTCCCTCTCCCAGTCTTACAGAAATTGGCAATAAAAGCATAGAGTTCCGGGGGATAAATGGGTCGGTACTTCTGGTATAGATGGGAGTGTTCCGAACCAACAAACAACTCCATTTTCCTGCAGGCCGAGAGAAAGATTCGACGAGTTAATGGCTTATGGGAACTAATTTTGGTGAAACATGACAGCATATCCTAACCTGAAAATCATTTTAAATATTAGAAATACATTAAATCCTCTTGTATTAATTATAAACAATGGGACGGTCAACTTCGGAATGGACATTTTTTCCGAACTTGCGCGCCCTTTTCCTTTAAAGCTACTTGTAAAATACATTTTACAACTTGCTGACAGTTATATTAATTATTACACTTTTCGTAAATGATTAACCACTGGCACTTGTTTCGTATACGGGACATCCCTACTTATTTGCCCGAAATTTAGTTGGATAACTTGCGGTAAAAATAAGTAGGAGTGCCCCGTATACGAAACAAGTGCTTGTGTGTTTAATGTCTTGTGTTTTATCTTTTGGATGTCTTTTGTTTTGAATAGGTGTTGTGTGTTTGACTTGTATATTTTCTTGATTATATTAGTTGAGACCTTCACCAGACCAGTTTTAAGTTCATTGATATAAGCATTCGACAGTAGTGACTGAGTACATTTAAGATGACACTGAGAGTTACTAGTATTTTCATTTCCCATATTCAGTTACTCTCTATATGGGACACGTCACCCGCGTAGCGCATTGATTACAGCGTCTGCTCTAGAGTTGCGAAGTGAGGAGTTGATCCTTAAGTCGCGGGTTTGAATCCCACTGTGTGATGTGGAGACCGGTCCTTCGGATGAGCCCGTATAAACCCAGGTCCCGTGTAGCAGTAGGTGCTGGCACGAAAAAGACCCCTCCCTGCTAAATGGCCCTAAATATAGCTGCTCAGTGCCGAGTAAAGGACAAAATTTGCAGCTCTCCACCGGCAAGAGGTGACGTCTCCATATGAGTGAAAAATTCTCGAGAAGGACGTTAAACAACATACAATCAATCAATGGGACAGTGCAGGGACCTATACCGTAGTATATAGTACATAGGTCCTTTATTAATTGACAGTGTACGTTCCTCAAAGGTTATTTTAGAACAATAAACTAACTTAATTATATTCAGTTCTAAACGGGATACATAATTCAATTCAATTCGTTTATCTCACGGGGACTCGACTGAAACTTAACTCACCAGTGGCCTACCTATCTAAGCTCAAGGTATGAGAAAACAGTCCCTCAGTACCGAGATCACATTGTTTACATTTAAATCAAAACCGGATATAAACATATCCAAATAAAAAAAAGCAAATTAATCCGGAGCAAATCAATCCGGATTGACATGATGCACCCGATACGAATTTCTATTTTTAAAAACTCTAAATAATTTGAATTCCTTGATTTCAAGGATATATTGAGAAAATAAATTCTTTAAAATTTATATTTATATATTTTGACACAAGAAATTTATTTTGACATCAGAAAATCATTTTTTAGGGGGAAGGTTTTTAAACTTTTTTTTTTTAAATTTTTTTTTTTAAATTATGTTTGCACTTTTTTTTGTGCATATATATTAATTGGAAAATTTAAAAATCCTCTCTCTCTCTCTCTCTCTCCTCTCTCTCTCTCTCTCTCTCTCTCTCTCTCTCTCTCTCTCTCTCTCTCTCTCTCTCTCTCTCTCTCTCTCATGACCTTTCTCTACTACTAACTCAATCTAACTATAAAGCAATTTTTATTTTGACGCCAAATTCACAAAAATGAAAATCATTTTTCACAATTGATAAACTAGGTTTATCGACTGTAAACTAAGTTTTACAAACCGTCTATTTTTTTAAAGTTTTATGTAAAACTATATTTTTGTTCCGAATGTTTTTAGTTTATCTGTCTTAATAAAGCGTTAACAATAGATTTTGTTGATAAACATAGATATATATAGTTTACAATCTATAGTTAAGAGTTGTTAATCATAGTTTCACAAATTGTGAAACTATATTTTGATCGTTTATAAACGGTTTGTTATAGTTTACAAATCGTGAAACTCTCTCTCTCTCTCTCTCTCTCTCTCTCTCTCTCTCTCTCTCTCTCTCTCTCTCTCTCTCTCATGACCTTTCTAGACTAATAACTCAATCTAACTGTATATAAATTTGTCTCAGTCTTATCGTTGCCTTATCATTTCACAATAGTCTATGTGCACTTGTCTTCCGTTATGTTGGCACTTTTCTGTTGCTCTCTTTTTTCTTCATTTCTTTACCTAAGTATGTAAAAATATATCATTTATGCTTTAATTATGTACTTGTTTTACATACAATAAACACTTTTCATTCTTTTTGTCTACAGATGCAGAAAGACCTACGTCATGTAGAGACGGGTGGATCCACGGTGGCGGTTCCTGTTACCTGATTCGGTCGATGACACAGCAATGGGCAGGTGCCCAGGTAAGTCAGTTTCTACGTTCAGTTCGAATTTTAAGATGATTTATTATCTTATTTTATTGAGCTCGGGGAGGAGAGGGGGGTTCACATCTCCATGACAAACATTTGTCAATTAGTATATTTTGATTCTGAATAAATCCTGCTGATGGCCCGACTAGAAGCTATCAGGTTCGTGAATGATGCAGGAGTATTAAGATATTATGTTTTCTATGGTGTTTCAACTTCTCAGTTTTTTCCTGCTTCTTATGAATTTAATCAATATTTCAACCATTTTACAGAAAATTCTTGAAAAATCAATTAATTGTGACACACATATCATATATATCTAGTCAAAAATTGCATACAATTTTAAATTCCTTTTACAGTCAGTTTGTGATTTCTTGGGAGCTAAACTTTTGATCATCGAATCATCAACAGAAAATGAATTTATTAAAAATCAGCTCTCAGCACTTACCATTAATCGTGAGTATTAACATTTGCATACATAAGTCTGCCAGACACTGTGAAATACGGTCATTTCGTCTAATAAGTGGGTAGCTGTGCAAATTTCGAGTACAGAAGAGAATTTAAAAAAAAAAAAACCTTTTGTAAATTGTTACGCTATACATGTACTGTAACTTCATCGTAGATTCTGGTTCCAATGACCTCTCAGCAAAATACTGGACAGCTGGAACAGACTTTCAGAACCCTGGGAAGTGGCTTTGGGGTAAAGACCACACCATGGGGTTCAGTAACTGGGCCGGGGGACAGCCCATTACTCACCACTGTCTGGCGCTTGATCCCCAAAACCAATATACATGGGTAGCAACCGACTGCGAAAGAAGCAACAACTTTATCTGTGAAATACAGTAAGTACGATGCCATTGGCTGGCCATGTGTATCAAATGATATCATTGGCTGGTCATATGTTTCAATAAAGTAAATAGGGCCTAAAGATTTCACTGGCTGGTCATGTGTATCAAATGTCATCATTGGCTGGTCATGTGTATCAAATGATATCATTGACGGTTCATATGTTTTCAATAAAATATATAAAGATTTCACCGGCTGGTCATGCCTGTCAAAAGGTAAATCTTGATATCATGGGATATACTTCTTTGAAAAAGTAACAAAATATACGAAATGAAAATTTCAGATACCATGCTTTTGTATTCATTTATGTTAAATGCAATGCATTATGTGTTTTAAAATGTTTGTAAGTAGTTTACTTCTCAACGAAAAATTTTTTCAAAGTACGTTAAGAGTCTACATCATTATATTTTACCATGGAGACACTTAACGCACTCTGAAAAAAAAATTTCATATTTTAGTGATGGAAAGATTTTATTTGTTATTTATCTTTCAAAAAACTAACCCTAACCCTAACCTCAAAAAAGAATTGATTTACTCCCGTCGAAAAGAGGAGAAGACGGGTATAAGATCCCTAGCCTCAGTCCAAATCTTTATCTTTCCAATTCATAGGTGTCAGTAACAAACGGGGGAGGCGAGCAATAAACCCAAAAGGGGTAAGCTGCATTTTCAATGCTTATGCGATGTATATATCTTTCCAAAATAAGTGGGGGCTCAGCTATTTATCAAAGACTAGAAAATTCAATATTAAATGAGTTAAAAAAAATGAAAACTAGAATTTTTTAATACAGTAATCTTAAACAGTCTTTCACCTCTTTTTTAAAGACCTTTTTCCCTTTAATTTTGTCAAAACCTCAAATATTTAAAACGTCAATATCTCAGGTCCTGAAGTGACTGTATCTAGAAAAAGTTATCCAACCAGGATCTGTTATTTATTATTTATCATACCGATTATTTTCTAGGAATATTGATCAATCTTTACATTTTTTTTCAAAGTGCGTTAATATGGTCGATATTAACGCACTTTGAAAAAAAAATTAATTTTTTCAAAGTGCGTTAGCTTTCCCAAATTTAACGCACTTTGAAAATTTTTTTCAAAGTGCGTAATTTTTTAAAGTGCGTTGTAACTGAACAGTGCATGAATATTACTTATTCTTTCAGGCTAGCATCGGGCCAAGATTCGACATTTGGGTGACACGTTGTTCTACATGCCAAAATAAGATGTTCAGATTCCAATCAATAGATGAATGTATAAGTGTGTGATTCCTTGTCTCTTTATGATATACAGTGTATACATATATACTTGATCATGATAAGAAACATGATTTGAAATACTGTACAGTTGAATGTTTAGCGAGGGTTTAATTTTGGCATAATTAGCGAGGGCGCTGAGATCGCTAAAATTAGATATCGCTAAAAAATTATTGGTTTCATTTTGTAATAACTTCTTTATGAATCATTTTAAAATCGCTAAAAATGCATATCGCTAAAAACTGAACACGAATATTTAAGGAGAAATCACTAAATTTGTGTCTCGCTAAAATTTCCACTTATACGGTATACACCATCTGACGTGAACCTTAAAGAGGCTACATAGAGAATACATGTATAAAGGAGCTGTCTTGTGGTATCACCTAGCAGCGTTCGCTTATAAAAGCGACAAACTATTTATGTAAACCCACCCAAACAATGACAAAAAGGAGGGGAGACCTCCTGTGAATTATTTTAACATTTGTTTGGTAAAATAACTTTCACTTAATCTCGGACCACTTCTTTCCGGGTATCTTGATTAACCCTTCGAAACAAAAATCTCTTTTAAAGTTGACAATATTATGTATATGTTAGAATGAAAAAAAGCTGTTCGCTAAAAATTATCAACTCCATACCACCCAACCCCCATAACCAATAGTTTAATTATATTAAAATACTATGAATCAAACAAATTTTTACAGAAACAAGTGCCTGCAGGGAAAATGTCAGATATACAAATAACTTTACGAGATACATGTCTATGATATAAAGCTTAGAATACTGAACCAGTGTTTCTTATTTGAATTTAGGAAATACTCGTTATTAGTAATCTCTCTCTCTCTCTCTCTCTCTCTCTCTCTCTCTCTCTCAGATTACGACTGTCCCGAATCTAGACCAAAGACCTTTAATGGAATTTCCGCCTCTTATAGTTATCAGATCGTCGCAAAATGAGCGTGTGTCAATCGTACGTCATGTTGCTAACTTGCTACTATTTCTGTTGTTTCTGTCTCATTCCTATAGGTTTATGTACTAAGGAACATATAAACTAGAGGTACTGTGAGCACTGAGCTCACTAAATGATTCACCGCCTCTCGGCAGATTATAATGGTTAAGTCCACGTTTTGCGCTGGGGGACCAGAAATTAAGACAGATCAAAAACTAAAATAGGAGGTCTCAATGGCATTATTCAATAAAGAATCTGTGAATATATCAAGTATCATTAAATTTTATTCAGTGGTATAGGAGGATTTGCGGGTAAGAGATGGGTATTCTTTAATATTGAAGAAATTTTGCCATTTTGGCAGTGTCGATGTACATGTTTGCTATGGGAAACCCAAAATATCTTTCCAATCAAAAAGTAAAATAACAGGTCACAATGGCACTATGTAATAAAGAATACAGACAGACAAACAGACAGGGCAAAAACAATATACGTGTACGTCTCGGATCTATCGATCAGGGCGCATAAAAAATAAAATTACCGTACGTACCTATTATTACACAGTGTATTATCAAGTTTAAAGTCTTTATAATTAGTATGATTTTTATTAACAAGACGTATTTGTGAAACTCTATGCGCCCGGCGGCAACAAAGTTCGAAAAAGCTATTTTTAGAATATAGGTTATATCAAGGTCACAAAGTCATTGACCTTGGTGTTATTTGTAAGAACTTTATTGGTGGAGTATGCATACCAAATATGAAGTCTCTATCTCCTATGTTTCAAAAGTTATGGCGAAAGTTCGAAAAAGCTATTTTTAGCATATAGGTTATGTCGAGGTCACAAAGTCATTGACCTTGGTGTCACTTGAAAGAACTTAATTAGTGGAGTATGCATACCAAATATGAAGTCTCTATCTCTCATGGCAGGCTTTAGAAAGGACAAGTCCTGTACAGACCAGGCCACTCTACGTATAATAATCGAACAGTCACTGGAGTTGCAGTCAACACTTTATCTTAACTTCATAGACTTTGAAAAGGCCTTTGATAGTGTTGATAGAAAAGTCATTTGGAAACTACTACAGCATTATGGAACGCCTCCTACCTTTATCAACCTGATACAACAATTGTATGACGAGGCAACATGCCAAGTCATCCACAATGGAAAGTTTACTGAAGCGTTTGAGGTACAGACTGGGGTTAGACAAGGCTGTCTGCTGTCACCAATGATTTTTCTAGTGGTAGTGGACTGGATCATGCGGGAGACAACAAAAGATAGTAAGACAGGAGTCCAGTGGACTTTCACTCAGTGTTTGGAAGACCTTGACTTTGCAGATGATCTATGCCTCATGTCCCAGAAGAGCATATGCAGCTCAAGACAAATAGGCTTGCAAAAGAAGCAGCAAAGTCAGGTCTAAAGGTGAACATCGAAAAGACAGAGGTGATGCGGCTCCACAACAAACAGCAAACACCAGTTACACTTGGAGAGCACAACCTTAAAGATGTAGACTCCTTTACATACTTAGGCAGCATCGTCACAGCCACTGGTGGAACAGATGAAGACATAAAAGCTAGAATTAATAAAGCCAGACACATCTTCACCACCCTCAAGCCTGTGTGGAGTTCAACAGCACTATCCACACACATAAAACTCCGCATCTACAACACCAATGTTAAGTCTGTGCTCCTCTACGGGTCTGAAACATGGAGAGTCACCAACACCACCTCCAACAAACTACAAGCCTTCGCTAACAGATGTCTGCGCCACATATTAAACATCAGATGGCCAGAAACTATAAACAACAAGAACCGGTGGGAAAAAACAAATCAAGACCCAATCACTAAACAAATAGTCTGTAGAAAGTGGCGGTGGATTGGACATACCCTTCGAAAACCACCAGGAGACATTACACGCCACTCACTCGAGTGGAACCCACAAGGCAAATGGCGAGTTGGGCGTCTCAGGAAAACTTGGCGAAGGCCATGTGAAGAGGAGATCAGGCAATGTGGACACACCTGGGAAAAACTGAAAAAGGCTGCCCAGAATAGAGTGCGGTGGAGAACTGTTGCCGAGGCCCTATGTTCCACCAGGAACCAAAATGAACCATGATCTCTCATGGTTTAAAAAACTTCTATGACGTCACCCATTGTAATAAGTATAGGTATATTTTACCGATTCAACCAGCAATAGTTGGATATTTAAAGATCCAACTGGCCATCAGTTGGACATTTCAAATATCCAACTGCCTATCGGTTGGATATTTCAAATATCCAACCGAGGTGCATAAAACATTAAACAATAAACAAAGGAGATAAAACAGTTTTTAAATATATTTCCAATGCACATGAAAAATAACAATTAATCCAAATTTGCCATACTATTACAATTAATTTCAAGTGCACATGGAATTACCGCAATTACTTCACATTTATCGTGTTTCAAATGCACTTCCAATGCTCACAGAAATAAGAATTCATCCGAATTTTGCACACATTTAAAAATGTTTTGTCTTTTTGACCATTTTTGACACTTTCCCACACGTAAATTTATTTTCACCTTGAATGTTAAAGAACACTTCTTATTGCTGTATATTATTTCTGGGTCCGTATTAATGTAAATCCCTTCAGATTATCCGAGATTCATCTCTGTTTCATACTTTTGCGGCATACTTCCCAAAGCAACTTAATTAATTGACAGCCCATCCATTTTTCGACACCGTTATTATTATTCCAGATCTTGATATGGAATGTTCTTAAAGCAGGTTCCGCATAGCACCACCAATCTTTTTATCTGTTTATAAGCACTACTTTAAGTATTGTCCGAATGGAACTCCATGAGAACCCAACACTTTTCCTCAGCAACCCATCATCTCATAATATGTAATGACAAATTCCCAACCTTTTATCAAAATTCTGTAGTTTTCAGCTTTCAGGTCAAAAGTATTCAAAACACCATCTGAACCTCTCTAATTTACTTTGGATTTAAAAATACAATGTACTCTTCGTCTGATTTCATGCATGACTGTTCAGTACAATGAAAAGGGTTGAAATGACATCAACACCGTGTAGTTTCATGCTCACTAGTCCATGAATAAAAGGGGTGTTCGATTAGGCTATTGTTTTCTGTCACAGTTGGATATTCAAATGGGCTAAATCCTATTGTATTACAGCAAAGTTGGATATTTGAATGGGTAAATGTTTCTTTGGGGCCCAAAGTAGGGAATTTTTTTACCTTAAATAACCGATAAATAGTTTAGAGAAAACATCCCCTCCTCGGGCCTTCGGCCCTCGGAGAGAATGTTTTCTCTAAACTATTCAACACCATCTCGTTATTTATCCCTTACTTAAAAGTTATGGCGAAGGTTAAAGTTGACCACAGGCAGACGAAGAGATAAACAGACAAACAGACAGGACAAAAACAATATACACCCCGGATCTATAGATCCAGGCGCATAAAAATGTATTACGTTAAGTGCTTGTGCTTCAAGTATAATTCTTAAGTAATGAAACATTCACAGTGCGGTTAGCCTTAGTCTATTATACAATGACTGGGTCCTTTCCTATCCATTCATTTTAAACCACAAGAAATTGTGCATGACTTTCCGGGAAATGAAGATAAGCAGGACTGAATTTCTGGCAGAAAACCTTTCCATAAAGTTGGTTGGAGGTTTTGTATATAAACTTAGCTGCAGATCTGTAGCGTTATAGTTTTATATATTTGTATTTGACCATAACGCTTACAGATCTCTTAACGCAAAAAAGGTGCAATTTACGGCGCAATATTTTTTGCGCATTTTGGGGAGAATTTCTCCACTTTCTAGCATTTCGTCAATCAACTACCTTTCACTCCCTAATTCTAGGCACATTATTTAACTAATCTGTATATTTTATCCACCTCCCAACCCTTTATAGTCGTCTCTACACGTGATAAACTTGATTGATTAAAATCATTTGTTATATTGCTGAAAATTCACTTCAAGCGAGTTTATTGCCTGTAGAGACAACTATAAATGGTTGGGAGGTGGATAAAATATACATATTGGCTACAGAATATGTCTAAAATTGGGGAGTGAAAGGTAGTTGATTGATCAATGCTAGAAAGTGGAGAAATTCTCCCCAAAAGTGCGCAAAAAACATTGCGCCGTAAATTGCACCTTTTTTGCATTACGGGATCTGTAGCGTTATGGTCAAAATCAAATATATAAAACCATAACGCTACAGATCTGCAGCTAATATAAACTGAGTATTACAATTATAGAGACCATCTACCTTGGCAAACATTGTGATAGATTTTGGCAATCGGCAATCCTCGGCTGACTCCGCTATGCTCCATTCAAACAGTTAGTGTGCGAGGTATATGAGGCGCCGTTTTTGGTATTTACTGCCAAAAAGTGATATCACCTATTCGAACAAGTGATATCACATATTTAGATTTTGAATAAGTTATATCACCTATTCGAATAAGTGAGTATTGATCACCCATTCAAATAGGTGATATCACCTAATCGAAAAGGTGATATCACATTCAAAATCTGAATAGGTGATGTCACTTATTCAAATAGGTGATATCATCATCTATTCAAATTATTTATGAAATAACGGCTCCCAAGATTATAGGTCCCCAGAGACATATATATTATCATCGTCTCAAGCCACGGTCCGGAGTCCGCATATATAGCTCTCTCCAGATGGGAGAAGAGCGTACATTTTGGCCATGGTTTGCGACGATGATATATTATATGTCTCTGAGGTCCCTTAATCTTATTTACTTTCACTTTCGTTTTATAACTCATCATTCTAGGAGACAATGGACTACAGTTTTGCATTCAATTTTAAGCAACCCAATAGAAACTGTAGTTTGTTTGGCTCACAAAATAATTCATTTCACTAATTATCTATCATGTATATTGTAAGAAAAATCGTGAAAAACGTATGAAAACGGGTTAGTCCGAATTTTCTGGGTTCCAGTGATAATCTATTTATTTAAGGGAGCATTCATTATTTATAGTTGTAAGTAATTCAGATAGGAGATATCACCCATTAGAATTGGTGATATCACCAATTCAAATTGAATAGTTGATATCACCTATTTTTATAGGTGATATCACTTATTCGAATCATTGGCGTCGGAAGCAAATTGAAAGTGGGGGGGGGGCTAAGTGTAAGAAAAAATTTTTTGGTACCTCCAAAAAAACCTGACAAGCAAAAAAAAAAAAAAAAAAAAAAAGGAAATGTCAATTTACAAACAAGAAAATCCTATTTAGTGGGGGGGGGGGGGGGGGGGGGGGGGGTTGGGGGTAGGTTCGAACACCAGTACCAAAAATTTTCTTCCAAACACCAACACTTCTCCCAATTTTAACCTATACTAAGACGTATCTGTGGAAAGTGGGGGGGGGGCTAAACTTACGAAGATATGTTCAATTATGTCTATACTACGTATATATTTGGAAAAAGGGGGGGGGGCTAAGCCCCCCCCGGTTCCGACGCCTATGCGAATAAGTGATTTCACCCATTGGAAATGAATGGGTGATATCACAAATTCGAATAGGTATTATTATATAATTGAATAATTTCCATCTCTCTGATTGGCTGAGATCCAACTATGTTAGAAAAATACTACGTTGTATTGACCTGCACGTGACGTTTCAGGTGAATACAAGGATTTATTTCCTCTACATTGATCTAAAAATAGATCGGAAAATTCCAAATTGATACAAATTGTTTGGGAAAGCTATTTAAACGGCTATGACTTTTTTTTATCATTTGAACAAAACATAAGCGGGTAAATATTTTCGGGTGAGGGTGGTAATAGGGGATGCAGGGGCCCCCTCCAACACTTTTACCGAACGGTAATTTTTACTTTTTTGGTGTCAGTTTTCCCAGATGATATATATATTCCTCTTTTCAAAATCTATCCCATAAAAAAGACTGAAATTATATTCTTCTTTTCATGGCAACTAAAACTGATTAAAAAAAAAATTTCAAATTGATACAACTGCTATGGTGAGGTTTATTTACATTTCAATGCTGCTTCTCTCTTGTATTTGGCTAGGACTTGATTAAATGCAAACAAGTACTGAGCTGTATCATTTTATCAGTGAATCATATAATAAAACACTTATTGCTGTTTTTTCGGTCAATACAGTGATTTAGCCATCTTCGAAGTACAATATTCACCTCGCCCTCTGGGCTCGGTGAATATTGTACTCCTCAGATGGCTAAATCACTGTATTGACCTCAAAAAACAGCAATAATTGTATAATATCACCTATTCGAATAAGTGATATCACCTATTCAAAACCGGCGCCTCATAGAGGTACAAGCCACCCGAGGAGCTCAAAGTGAGATTTTGGTGGGTATCCGACGATGGGTATCGACTAAAAACATTGAATATTGTGCATTTCTCTTCTTGGAGAACTATAATAAACTGAAGGTACTAATTATGTTGATCAAATAACCAAACGAAAGGGGTAATATACATCATTTAAGATAAAGGTGCCTTAAATAGTTAGGAATAGGACGTCCATGCAATAAATCTACCATGTGGATGTCAAGCAGGAGGGTTTTTAATGTAAGTGTTTTTCGTCATGAGAAATTAAGATTTCAAACAGACACATAAATACAAAAATCTACCTTTTTTTGTATCTGAGAATTTTTATCGTTATTTGAAAAAGAGTTTTCACAGCTTTCCGTGAGACGTACAGAATATCCACGTTCACGAAATCTACAGATTTGTTTTGCATTCATATATATGTTTGTTACGTACGTGGTCGTTGGTTTTGCTTTAATGTATATTTGTTCTGCGAAAAGGTCTGTTGATTATGCATAGTATATCATTTCTTAAGTTTTATGGTCATTGAAATTAAAATAATTGTTTGTTTTCTCATTATGGTAATTTTTGCTCTTTCCGCTGCCCATACTGATGTACTAAGTTCAATTATAAACAGAGAAACATATAATTTTATACATGTACATTTTTTTTTTCAATTTCTTTTTTACTGAGTTGCATGGATCTTTTTTTTTTTCTTTTCCTTATTCGATGAGGATGACTAATCTGTAAAGATTACCACAATTTCTAGATGACTCCCGAGTTTTGAAGTGATTCGGAAATTGCCTCTGACATGATGTCACAATAAAGTGAAGTGTCCTCTTTGGTTTGAGAGTATATATGTGTGTATTTAAACACGTTTTCTAATTCAGCAGTCATTCACATCATGATTCTTAGGAACATTTTTGGCCTCTTGGCGTTAACGGTATTGTCCACTGTCTCAGGATACAAGACTCTAGCAGAAATTGAGGTGAGAGGAAGATTTTTAAAACTCCAGAACTGCCGGCCAAACAGTTTAAAAAATACTACGTAGAAGACTATAAGTACTATAGCATGTTAAGAGGTTGTTTTCTTGTATAAATAAGTATGGGGCTGGGGTCAAATAAGGATAGAGAATCGAAAGGGAGGGGGGGGGGGGGGGGGGTAAATGAAATATTCGCCATCTCAAGACACTCAATAAAGGCCTATACAGAAGCAACATCATATACATTTTATGTAGCATCCTTTAATAGGAAAGAATACAAATGTTCTACATTTTTCTGAATTTCAGAAATATTTATGTAAGTATGGATACCTAACAGAGAACTGCAACAACCCTAACCAACCGGCGAGGGCCGAGAGTAGAGAATACGCAATAAAGTAAGAAACAAATCACTTTAGTGGAGCTCACTTGCAAGCGAGAATGTTTTATAAAATTTTAAAAAATTAAAAAGTTTTAAATTAAGTTATTTTCAATCCATTGCTTAAGTAGGACATAAAAGTTACTTTTTAATAAACCGATTATTTAACAACATAAAGTGTACTGAATACGATAAAACCAATCCAATTCTGATTAAATGCACGAATATACCGGTAATAATATACACATGTATATATCGGTATGGTATATTGTTGATTAGGGTTTCAATAAAGTAAAAACCTTGCAATTGTTAATGATAATATAGTAATACTATCTAAAAAGTGGTATATTTACACTTTTTCACCTAAGTATACTTGACCAGCGGTGATTGACCCTGAGTCACCCCCTTCTTTTCCCCCGATGACTAATTATTACTTTGTTTTGTGGTTAATCACCCCGTACTTGCGTAACTTTATTCATTAAGGAGTCATCAACATATAAGGTAGTGAAATTAACTGAAAATACCATTCGATGTATAGTCAACCACTTCAACAATACTCGATCAAAACGATGTGCGAGCAAAGGGTGCTTAATGTTAAATGGTGGGATTCGAACCCGCGACGTATAGATCAACTCCTTAGTCTGCGACTCAAGAGCAGACGCTCTAACCACTGCGCTACGCAGGCGAGTACTCTGTACGTAGCAGAGTAGCAAGTAGCTTCTAAAAATGGTTTGTTTAAATTACACTTTTTGCTCTTTGTGATGACACATCTCTGGATCAAAGAAATAAAATAAGAAATAACAAATGTGATAATTCTCTACACTATTTAACGGAGATTCTTACTCTGGTGTAATAGAGGAAGAATAAAAAGTGAAAATGCAATCTCCGTTGCAGTATGTCGTTCGTTCATCTCTCAGAATGTGTGAGTCGATGGTAGAGAGTGGAGAAAATATTTTCTTTTCCAGATGGTGGCAAATGTTCAGCAATCTGCCGGTGACTGGGATTATCGGACCTGCAGACGAGGAACTAATGGACAGACGGCGCTGTGCTTGTGAGGACGTCATGGAAAAGGATGAAGTCATGAACCCTGACCTTCAACCCCAACAATTTAATCTTGGTAAGCTGTGATGTTATAGTCGTGAGAAAGAACTATATGCGGTATATTGCATATATTTGCTCCCACAGAAGTCAAATTTTGAAAACTTCCTGAAATGTGTTGAATTCAATAAATTGTATGAGAAATATAAATTAACAGAAAATATTATGGTGTCAAAGCAGTGTATTCACAATTTTTGTTTTTATGACGTCACAAACTAGTCCGATTTTATATCCTTTTTCAGAAAGAGGACAAAATGGGCAAAATTTCAACAATTTTAGCTTTAAAATTTATAGAGCGCAAGTTTGTTCAGGAACAATATTGACACATTTCATTATATTATCATTCTACACATTATATCAAAATATTGATCCTGAACACACATGCGCTCGATTCAAAATATAGACGAAATATGTACATTTTTCTGTAAAATTCCTAAAAAACTGAAATTTACGTCATGTTTGTGACGTCATTACGTACACATGGCGTCATTACTTATGAAAATATTCAGTGCTTTGAAGTCAGCATATACTCCCCTGTTTAAGAACTTGATTAAATATATCTCCATCAAAGTTTGATTTGGGGGGCAAATATTGGTTATTACCGAAAAAAGTTCTTTGTCACTTTTCAATTTCATTTTTATATTTAATGCGCAATAGGATTTTTGTTTTTAACATTGTTTTAATTTGTACCTTAATATTATGTCTAAAACGGTGTTTTAACAATAGTAAAAAGAGAATGGAATTCCCATTTCACATACTTAATTTCCCGACATTTTTCCAATTAATAATGAACACATAAATTGAAAGTATACAAAACGGTTTTATGTGACATTTTATCGCTGTTATTTATGAATTACAGGTCCAAAATGGAGAAAAACAACACTAACGTGGAAAATGACCAAGTCTTCCAGAAAGCTTGATCCTGGAAAAACACGGTAGGTATTAAAAAACCAATACAAGTAATCCCTTAGAAGATACTCAGTAGCTATAGGCAATCGTAACATGTAAGGCTATATTAAACGAAGTTTTTAAAAGCCAAGTCAGGGAAATTGTGTGTCCCGCTAAAGGAAAAGGAAAATATAAGATAGTAGAATACTTTCCGTCCTGATACATGTATATTTTTATTTTATCAGATAAAATATACAACATGTCTAAACAGTCCATGTTGTATATTTTATTTGATAAAGTATATAAGGAGAGGCATTACCTTAAAAATGCAAATAGAAAGGGGGTGACCATGACCTTTCACCTCTTGGTCTTAAAGTCTTACTGGATGATGGTATTAATAATTTAGAAAATTCAGGTGATCATCACGAAACCAATTTATGCAAGATTATTTTTATCGTATCTTTCGACCTCAAAATAATTTGTGGTCCTCTGTCAGTCATTGGAGTTATGATATTTTGAAATATTATTGTGGAAAAAAATAAAGAATTAAAGATACTGTAAAGTATCACATTGAAACAATTTTTAAAAATGCATGACTTTATGACCTTGACCTTTGATCTAATGGTAAGGATCTAATTAAAATTAGACTTCTTTCGCAGAGTGTGTATACTAGCATATCTAAGAAGTCTTTATAATCAAGAATTAGGAATTTAAGAACATTGTAATAAGATTGTAAGGTAAGGGGGATCTTTTTTTTTAGGTCATTGAAAGTTATAATAAAATAAAATTCATTGCAGAAGCTCAGTGACCATTTGAGATTTCCTTCGAAAATTTGAGTTTCATGTCAAACGGGCCAGTTAATATCCCCCACTTTCAGTGAAATTGTAGAACAAAATCGTTAGACTTTATGAGCTGAGGATTCAAAACTATAGCGAGATAATATTACCTTCTCGGAATGAACCCTCTGACTTTCAAAATTTCTGTAGAAATTAACTGAAAATGACGAACACTACAAAATATTTTGACCTAAATGGAATGTTTTAGCGATTAAAATTATTTTTATCTTAATTTCACATTTTTCTTGTTAAGGTCCGAGATCACAAGAGCGCTGAGGCATTGGTCTGACGTCACACCTCTTCAATTTTACGAAATGCCGGAATCGGGCGATTCCGACATCACGATTTCTTTTGAGATTCGTAACCATGGAGATGGTGCTGGCAACGCCTTTGATGGTCCAAGTAAGCATAACTTGACAATTTCTGAAGAAATCTCAATACACTGAAGACAAGAGAGTTCTGATTCTATAATGTCCCATGCACTTAATATATAGAGTGATACTGTAGTATGGAAAGGAGGAATGAGTAAACATACATTGAAAATTCATAAATACATATATATTGAAAACATATGGCTGGACCGGGAATCGAAACCGGGACCCCTGTATTTCTAGTCAGGTGCTCTAACCACTGAGCTATCCAGGCCGATCTTCTTATTCCAGCCTAATTTTCCTACATTCCCTCCTCCTTAAAAAGTCTTCGACCCTGAAGACACAACTCAAATTCACCTTGTCAGGACTTAACAGTATACATTATATAATGCCTGAACAACGTAGGCCACGGTACCATCTGTAGTATGGATAGCTGCAGAACTGTAGCTCTCCGAAAAAATATATATTGATAGACCGGAGAGCTACAGTGCCACCCATTGAAAAAACTATATATTTATTTCGCACAAAAAAGTGCGCTGTTTTTTCGATTTATTTCTCCATGTTTTTAAAACTCTCATTTCAAAATATAACTAACCGTGTGTTCCTAAGATATTTTTTCACTGTTTCCACATCAAAACATTTCTTATAATTGGCCCTCCTGGTCCTGAAATTGAGATCATCGAAAATTTCGTCTATTTATACTGCCATTCTGGTTTGCAAGTTAAAGATTCCAACGCGTTTCGCACAGATGTAAACGAGTAAGGACTTTATTGAAATCTAGCTATTTTGCAATTGAAGTAAGAATTTGGAAGAATTAATCCAGAAACAGCGCACATTTTTGTGCACAGTAAATATAATGTTTTTTAATGGGTGGCACTGTAGCTCTCCGGTCTATCAATATATTTTTTTCGGAGAGCTACAGTTCTGCAGCTATAGTATGGAAAGGAGGAATGAGTAAATATACATTGAAAATTCATAAATTCAGATACAGGTATACTGAAAACATATGACTGGACCGGGAATCGAACCCGGGACTCCTTTATTTCTAGTCAGGTGCTCTAACCACTGAGCTATCCAGGCCTATATTCTCAATACTGCCTAATTTTCCTGCAATATCGAAAAGATGAAATCTTTGCAATCCTCGAATTTTAATCAATTCAAGCATTCTTAACATTTTTACAAGACAAAATAAATTAAATATATAATTGAAAAAAAAATCATTGCATTTTCGATCCTTCCACTTTAGTAAAAAAAAAAAACAAAAAAAAAAAGCACTGATTTTATATCCTTCCCTGTTGTTATAAAGCGCTAGCGTACGCGTGATGTCACTTTGCGTTGTAATAAACGCTCTAGCGCGTTGACACTTTGCACTAGCGCGTTGTAATAAACACGCTAACGCATTGTTATAAATGTGCTGTTACACTTTTGCAAATGGCGTTATAGGTTTCAATACAAACTTTTCAAAACAAGCAAATTCAAAGAATTGTGGTCCCCCGCTTTCGGTGTCTCTGTAGGTATAATGTCATTTTATGGCATATTGTGTCAAATATGAACATCCTTTCATATGTCATTCAGAAGTTATCACCGAAATTGATTAAAATTAAGGTCAAGGTCAAGGGGTCAAAAATCGTAGCATGCTCGGAAATATCTTGTCACAGGATATGAACATGTCAAAGTTGAAAGCCCTATTTCTTCTTAATCAAAAGTTATAATGAAAAATCAACAATTTTTTTTAAAAAATAGGTCAAACTTCAAGGACAAGGTCACAAACTCAGCATCAAAGTGTATTTAGAAAGGTCTTGTCACAAGCATTACACAGCTTTAAAATGAAACCCCTATCTCTTCTAATTCAAAAGTCATAAGCAAGGTTAAAGTTTTTGAAAAGTAGGAGTTGATCCTTACGTCGCGGGTTCGAATCCCAATGTCAGAGTGGGACGTGGAGACCACTCGAAGTTCCTCGGATGGTTCGTACCTCGCACATAACTGAGCGTTGCGGAGTCAGCCGAGGATTGCCGAAGTTTGCAGCTCTCCACCGGCAAGTGGTGGCGTCTCCATATGAGTGAAAAAATCGCGAGAGGGACTGACGTTAAACAATATACATGTACAATCAATCAATCAAAATATATGACCAAGGTTAAAGTTTTTGTGACGGACGGACAGACTCTCGAAAGCGGGGGACAATAAATTAAACACAATGTAATGTTCTTGCTTACTAATACATGTGTAGACTCTAATCATCTTTTAGATGTCATTCTTTCAAAACTACTTCCGGGTCTTCAAAATTCATTCTCTAAATCTCTCAAATAAATTTTGAAATCTGTTACAAGGTCCATATACACCCATGGGATGACAATATTACATGTTGAGAGAGTTTCAAATAATAAAAAAAAGATCATTGTTGTTTTACGCTGAGTCGGCATTCGGCAATATTTCAGCCATATTTCGGCGAGAGATAAGAAAAAAAACATTGTATTATCTTTAATTTGCATAATCCATTACTCAGTAAATGATGAACTGTTATAAATGCTAGACCCTTGTTTTAAGACGCACCCATTTTCATAAAATGACGCAAAGAAAGTAAACTTATAGGTTTTACTTAATTTAATCAAGGTAGAGTACTTGCCCATGCATTTTTCCCGTCCAATGGGCGAGTCCATTTTGATGAAGAGGAATTCTGGGGCTTCGGCGATGAAGTTGGAGACTCTAAGACCGACTTTTTCACGGTAGCAGTTCACGAGTTTGGCCACACCTTGGGTTTGTTCCATTCGGACGTTTATGGTGCTCTCATGTATCCGTATTATGCAGGGTACAATGCTAGCTTCCGGCTACACCAGGACGATGTCATTGGCATACAGAGTTTGTACGGTAGGGTTTAGATATTTTTTTGAGAAAAAATATATTTTTTTAAATTTCAAAACTCTTCGATCAGCGGGGAAATAGTCCTAGAATTCGAGAAACTGGATGAATTTTTTTTTTACATTGTCAAAATCGAATGTTGGGATTTAGCATACGTTATCGATTTTGTTTCTTATTCTTTGTTTGTTTTTGTAATATTTTGTCAGGGGTTTCTTTTTCAGTAAGAAATATACCGGTATAAAGCTCTAATGGTTTTGATACGTATATCATAGATCATTATAAACAAAATCAAAACTATGTGATTTAAGGTCCTAGCCCTCGAATTACGCCAACCACTCCAAGACGTCTGACGACATTCCGTCCTACAACGCCAGCCCCTAGACCCCGCATCACATCAACTCCCCGACCCCGTATCACTCCGGCGCCCACTGTTAGACCTACCCGGAACCCTACCCTGCCGTCCATTTGTAACGTCAATCTACGAGCCGTGATTAGGGGTGACTGTTCGATTGTCATTTCCATATATTAAAATATAAACAGTTGTTAAATAGACGTGATATATATGGTAAAACTTAAGAATTAAATGTTAAAATTACTGTTTGGTTTTGACAGATTTTGATGGCACGATGTTTGCATTTGTGGACTCTCATAACGTGATGAGGATAACCGAAAGGGGGTTATTGGATCGCTTCCGGGTCAGTAACCTCTTCCGGCGAGCTCCCTGGAATACAGAGGCTGCATACAATATCCCCAGTCTCGGTCGGACATATTTTATGAGAGGTATGGGCAACTTTGAAAACCTTGAAAATGAACATTATTTCAAAGGTTTAAAAATAATTTTTAACTTCAGATTCTAATCTCCAAAATCGTCAGTGATCAAGTATCATTACCTTTAAAGAATCTTTATTTTTGGTTTCAGGTCAAAGAATTTGGGAGTTTGACCGAATGAGGAATCGCATGTCTACCATACTGGTTCAGGGAGGGCCGAGATCAATGCCAGAGAGACCACGGGCTGCGATATCCACGTCCGCTTCTGGAAATGACATAGAGGTCTTTGGGGTAGGTACAATAACAATTAGTAAATTCCAGGACACGATACTTTACTTATTGTCGTGATTCTAATCAATCTTTGATTCCCTAGTTAATTAAACTTTGTATTGGTTTACTTAAAAGAATGATTGACTTCTGAAATAAAGTGAATCTTTCATCAGTTTGGAAGATTTGTCAATTCGAAGTTTCATTTCAAAACCTGGAAGATAAACAAGGCTTTCGTCTTAAAACAACTGTATGCAATTAATAAAATTAATAGGCCTCTATAAATTTCCACTATACTTGGTATTTATCCTTTGGCCTCAAAATAAATAGAAGTCATTCTTAAGTCGAAGTTTCAGAGAGTAAATACTCTATTGAAGTTATCATCCGGAAATCATTTTACACAACGTAAAATATTGACTTTCTTTGTCATTGGAAGCAATGGTTAAAAAAAAATCCATTGCAAAATCTCAAGGAGAAATAAAGTTAGAGTTTTTTTATAGAGTGGTATAATGTGGAGAATGAAGATGAATGGAGAAGTCGTACCCGGATCTCACCGCTACATCCAGAATGTGTATTATGGAGTTCCGGAAGAAATAGACGCTGCCGTTCGGTGGGATTCTACCACAATATATTTCTTCAAATACAATCGGTAAGTATGTTCCTCTTCGTACGAAAGTATACTGCGAACGTAATATTTAACGATTTCATAGTTTTGCTTTAACATGTTTAACCAAATCAATCCTTGATTTCTAAATTTTGATCATGAAAACTATGATTTTTGAAATTGAATTGGCTTGCTAACAAGTTTTTGAAATCTATTTTAATTTCCGCCGCTTCCTGTCTTTAAACAAGTCTGTCTGACATTTGAATTGCCGACGTGGAAATAACGAATAGAATAGAAAAACAAGATGTCCAAAAACGTCCCTTTCTTATTTCCAAAATACTTTTATCGAAATGTTTTATTTTATTATTTTTTCCCAGGTTCTATAAATATGACACGCGCCGACGAGGCGTGATTTTGGAGGGAGATTTTGGCCCTGCATTTCTTAAAGGTCAATGTGGCAACGCCCCGAGGTAAATCCAGATCATCTTACCGATAGATCTTACTCAGTGATAAAACCCGGAAACTAAGTGAACATTTTTTTTTCTAAAACTACTGTTGTATTGTTTACATTTTCTGTGTATTAATTTATTAAATGTTGGTTTAATGGTTAGTACATGTTCATGATTTTTTATGACCTAATCGTGGAAACAATCCCCCCTCATACTAGTAATTTTGCCAGTATATAGAATACCGTATTGTAGTACGTACCTTTCAAAATTCAATATCCAAATTTTACACAGCGAAGAATGATTTAGTATTTTATTGAATTAAAACACACCGTACTTATACTGAAGATGAAATTTGTTTTAAGAGATTTTTAGAGAATTTTCACCATAAGACATTTTAATTTAACAAACTGAAGTTGAAGCAACCCAAGTCCTTCAGAAAAAAAAACAGGTTCGTAGGATCGGGTGCTTGGGAGGGTTTGCAGCCCCCTACACTTTTTTTTTCGGACATAAACTTTTACCACGAGTAGCGTCAATAAAAAAGGGAATGGATCAAGGATCTGATTTTAGATTGTTACGAAATGATGACTTTAAACAAAACTATTGATACTCTTGTTTCATCAAGTTGTTCGTCAATATCAACCTCATAATAGAAATTGTTTATACAGTTATTATTATACGTAGAGTATGCACTTACATTTAGATGCAACTGAGAGATAGTTTATGTGGTATTTTTGCAAAATTTGAAAAAAAAAAAAAGTAAAATATAAAAAGATGGTACATTATTTAAAAAAAAAAATGGACTTTACTGGACTTCACTGGCAATTAAGAACTCTATGTCTGTGTTTGTATACCAAGTATAACACTGTATAAAGTGAATTATAGATCCGACGGACAGAGCGCAAAGTCTTTTAAAATGCATATATTAAAGGTTGTGTATGCATGACACTAAAATAAACAAAAAACTTACTTGCTGTATTGTTAACCTTGTCTTACAAAAATATTTTTACACAAGTGATAACCAGAATTTTGTAAAAAATTTAAACAAGGTCCATGTTTATTAAAGATCATTGCAAATAATTCTCAAAAACAGTATTAATTATTCCCTATCCATGGCATCTAGTACGTTTATACTGAGATTTCTAAGTTCCTTTACTCCTTTAAATACACGCAATCCCAAAACACCTAATATAGCATTACATGAATTTTGGATAATTTCATTCACTTTTACAAAAATCGTTTTTCTCCATTTCCGAGAAACTTCAAATGATCGTTTTGGATAAGGGCTAAAAACTCCATGATGTTTCGCAAGAAATCTTTGTTGTAACATACTCTCCCAAGAAATATTTGTAAAGCTTTGAAGCCATTCAGAAGCGTTTGTTGTAAAGTTTAAATCACAAAATTTATACAGCTGCTTAACAACTTTTTGTGGTTTTAATGCTAACTGCTCGTACAATAAAGTGTAGATATCTTCATCCTGCGAAGCGTCTTCAAAGTTTTTGTACATCATGGAACACAATGCTTTAGACTGTTTATCCATGGAGTCCCGGGTGATTGTGCCGGCCTTGGTCCGGGAATGAAGAATGGCCCTGGGATCCCGGACGAGATGAACAATGTACAAGTTATCCAATAAAGTCCTCAACATATTAGCCAATCTAATATCTATACGTATTGTCTTGATAATAATTGTGGATGACGATTTACAGAGACGCGTTAGATTCTCTATACAGTCGTAATAGGAAGAAAATCCTTGTTCTTTCCAATGTTCATTATTAAAACATTTCAACTTCTTAACATATTCATGTCCAGTGCTGGCAAAGGTCGCAAAAGATTTCAGCACTTCGTAAGACAGTGCTTCAAAATTACAGGAATATATTGCTCGAAACACAGACAACGTATTGTTTATTTCTTCCTTGTGGTATAGTGGTGATCTGTAAAATAAAACAATTTAATTTAAATTGTGATAATTTGATTAATTTGAAATGAAACGTTTATTAATTCAATACACCCCATGGGACCTGGCAGCAAGCTAAGCCTATTTGAACTTTCCCAAAAATAAACCACTTGATGAAAAATATTAGTCCTCAAAACAAAGTTCATCGAGGGATATTTTATCATGATTATGTCGTAGTGATCCGACTGACAGTGTCCGTGGGATAATAATGCTAATCTTCCAAGTCGAGGGTTTTTGATCCTTCCGCCGGACATAAATGTGGATCGGAGTGGATCAGAAACCCTCGACTTGGAAGATGGATGAAGCCCTATTCGGCAAGTTACACATTTATAGGTTGAGTGACCTAAACTTTACTTAAAGAAACCTGTAAATATTATATAAAATCTGTCACTTACTGTTAATCACTATTATTGCCTGAATTAATAATCACACTGTTACCACAGATCACTGACTTTATTTCTCCTCAGTCACATGGATCACACTAACTAAAGCAACCTCCAAACACAGAAGAGTTCGTTACTGAGAGTTATCTTTCTTGATACATAATGCAACATAAAATAGATTAACATTAATTACAGTTTTTTTTTTCTTGGGCAAAAATTTGATATAAAAGACGATAAAGGAATTTTACCAATCAATTGAAATGGTTAGTTCATATTTACATGTATTTACATAGACAGTGTTGACCTTCATTGGATTAGACCATCCTCAAGTCAACCGGGGTTTATTCTGCCCCTTAACATATAAAGATGCATTCAAAAACAATGTCTATCAAAATATTTTACACAAATTCTTCAGGTAACTTCCCTGTCTGTAGAATTTTAAGCAGCTCCATACCATTTGCTCCACGCTTCGTCATACAATTGGCTAGCTGCACTTTTCCTGGACACCATTTCACATGAACATTACTGTTATTCTTTATTTCACAAATTGCTGCTATATCAATTCTAAGGCGTTTGTCATCCACCATTCTTGTAGACTGTAATGCCTCGAAAACACTTTTATTGTCAATAAATGCTGTAATTGGTATTTTATCTGCTTCCAATGTACAGATCTCCTCTAGTAGTTTCCTGTAATACAATGCACACTCAAGGCCCTCCTGCAAACTTAAAGCTTCTGCCGCAATTGTTGAACGAACAACCCTCTTTATTTTGTTGGCCTGCCAATGAATAGGACAACAGTTTCCAATGCGGTCTTTGAGCCACAGGATTTGACCTCCAGTACTTCCTTTCCCCTCGTTTATGTTTGCCAGCGCTGCATCCGAGAACACAAACATCTCCCAGTCTCTTTCAGCTGCCCCTTGTAGAGGGGGGAAAATCTGGATTGGTATTATATCTTTCAGTTTCCCAATAGCTTTTATAGCTCGGAGTATGTCCACCACAGTTGCAGATTTCAGTTTGGTACTTAAGTCAACCAACTCAAATGCTAAATCTGGCCGTGTACCTTGCACTGCCCAATTGAGTTGTCCGATTAATTTACGATATAAAGTTTGTTCTTCCATAGTAAGTTGTTCATGTTTTTGGACTGCTCTTTCGGGATCAAGGTGGGGGTGGTCCAATTTCTCCATGAACTTTGAGTGATCTACACTGATCCCCTTTTCATTCTGTTTTATGTGGAATCCAATGTACTGAAAATCTTTTTCCTCAACTTTGCCAGCTAGAAATCTCTGTTTTAATTTACACAACAAATCTTCAAATTCCCTCTCTCCAGCATGTAAAAAATCATCAACATGACAGCAAACCATCCCTATCAGAATTTTTCCATTTTCTTTGGTGAACATTGCAGGGTCCATTTTTGATTGAATACATCCAAGTTTAAGCAGCTCATCACGCACACTTATGTAAAACTGACGAGCACCATCTTTTAAGCCATATAACCCGTGCCTTAGTTTCCATATGAAACCATCTGGTGTGTGACTTTCGTAGGGAGGTTTGATGAACACTTCCCTTTGTAATGTGTCCCCTTGGAGAAACGCAGACTTTATGTCAGTAGTTTTTACTATCCATCTTTTGCTAGCTGCCACAGTAAGAAATGTCCTGATAGCCCCTTTACCTATTGTTGGACTATCTGAAGGAATAAAAGAATGTTCCTCAAACCCTCGTGCAACTAACCTAGCTCTTGTATTACTGTCTTTGCCAGTTATTACCCATCTAGTTGATATTGTTTTCTGTCCACGATCCTCTACTTCATCATACGTTTTGAAATGACGCAGTTTGTCTAGTTCTGTTTGTTTTGCATTTTCAATAAACACATTACTGGTTCCATGAGACGCATCACTGTATGTGTCGATGTGTGATATGTTTACTTCTTCTGGGTTTACAGTTTTCCACTCTACAACATCCAGATCAAGGCTTTTATCTTCATTTTCAACACTGTCTCGGACATTATACCAAGATGGGTATCTTCCTGTCGCTTTCCCGGCTCTTCCCAGTACTGTTGCCTCTGTCCATTCCTCTGAGTTTGGAGGCTTGTACTTGATCCTGTCGTGTTTCTTTGGTCGCTGTCTCTGGTCAGTTTGTGAATCTACTTCCTGGTTAAGTTGCTCTGGTACCTGATTACCAGTAAGTTTTTCTGATACAGTACTTGAAATGACTGTCTTTGTTTTCAAATCATCCTCATTGTTTTTATCTTCACACGGTTTTTCCAAACTTTCTTCACTCGGTTTCAGTTCTGGCTGATCTTGTGTAATTTTGCACAGTCTGTTCGGGGATACTCTCACAAAGACTCCCCCATGTCTAACAAACACGACTTTTCCGTCTTGAAATACCACCTTTCCAGGTCCTAACCAGCGCTCTCGACCCTCTCGTTTGTAAAACACCAAGTCACCATTGTCATATGTTACTTCTGCTGCTCTAACTTTGGAACGCAGTGCTCTTCGTATTCTCTCATCTGCTTCACTTTGAATAAAGGCACGTCGTGCTTCATGCAGGGTGTTCAAATGCCTAGCCAGTGTCTCAGAACTTGTACTCCCTTCCAAGGCAGGCAAATCAGCTTTCATGATGTTAGGCAAATTTGGATTCTGCCCAAATATTAATTGATGGCTGCTAAAACCATTCCACATCTGTAATGAGTTTCTTGCCATATTTGCCCATGCAAGAAGTGTTTCAATATTAACAGCTTTGTTTTCAGCTTCAAGCTTGACAAGCATCATATCTGTAACAGCATGAACACGTTCACAAAGTCCATTTTGAAAAGGGCTCATTCCTGCTGTTGTGCATAAACGAATGTTGAGTATAGATGCTATTTCTCGCGTTTCATCTGAACTGAATTCTCCACCATTGTCTGTCATCAAGGCTCCCATCACTCCAAAAACTCCTACCCAGTTTTTCATCATGGCATCAATTACATCTCTTGGCTTCTTTCGCTGTATGAAGACAGAGACTGTATATCTCGACCACATGTCTATCATATGGAGTATCCAGCGCCCCTTATACTGTTTGAGGTCCATAGCAACTTTCTCATTGAATTCCTTTGCCATTGGCAATGCTACTACTGGTTTTGGTGGCGTCTTTGCATACGCTTTACACAGGTCACATTTTTGTTCTATATCCAACAGGTGTTCTTCAAACTCTTCCTTCCACACTCCTGCATCTTTTAACAAAGCCACAAGTCTCTTTTTTGGGGGGTGCGCAAATTGCCGATGAAGTTTCAAAAGAGCAGACTTGAGTTTTTGAGGCTCCAACTCTTCAAGTTTAACCGAGTTCACCTCTTCTAAGGGTACAGTCTCTGATTTGTCAATTGGTATACAATAATGGCCAGACGTAGTTAAATTAAGTGCCACATCTTGTCCCATGATGACAGCAGTGTCCTTTTCCAAATCCAGTTTTACCCCAGCTTTTTTCATTGCGGTTCTGGAAAGCAGTAAAGGGATGTCAGAATCAACCACATCTGTTTTGACTGTAACAGGTTTACCAACTATACTGACTGGTAATTCATATTCCCCTTCAGATTTCAATCTTGTTCCACCACCAAATTTGAAGACTTTATGCCCCTCACGTCTCAAGACATTACCGCGATCACTTTCCTTCAGCGAGCTAAGGTAACTTTGTAACCATGTTTTCCCACAAACGGTGCTGCTGCATGCACTATCAAGTACTGCACAGTTTCGTGCCTCTGTCCCAAGTTGGCTGACTTCATTTTTATGGTACCCTGTAAACAATACTGCATGCTCTGTCAACGGCTCTTCCTCTGTTATGTGTACTTTAGACATGTTCTCCCAACTGTCTGGACATTTTGCCACGAGATGCCGGAATGATCCACAAGATCTGCATGTCATAATTTTTCCATCTGGACCTTGTGGGTTGAGATTTTTAGTCCCACGCTGTGATGAGATAAATCCTGAACTCCTGCCACCACCCCTGCTGTAGTTAAAGCGCCCACCTCGCCGATATCCAGTATTACCACCTCTTCGTACATAACCTGCCGCCAATAAAGCCTCTTCATTCTCTGCTAAAAATGCTGGTTCCAGTTTTATACTCTTGTTTTCACACTGTGTATGTCCTCCTTCACCCATGAACTTTTTCAACGACTTCTTTGCTTCTTCGTACAATGTGTCTTTATTTTCATAGTTCATTCCAGTCAAAACTAACATTTTTTGCTCTTTGGTAATGTTTGCTTTTCTTAAAAGTTTAAAAGCTAATATTTCTGAGGGGAGTGTCATTTTCTTTTTCTCAATTTTTCTGTATTTGGTGTCAAAAATTGCTATGAACTCGTTCATCGACTGTCCTTCACTTCTCTTTAGGTCCTCAAATTCCTCAAACTTTTCCAAACTGTCTGCTAGGTCATCTTTGGCAAGGTGCTTATCAAGAAAGTCAAGAAGAGTCTTGAATCCACTTTCCTTTTTCAGATCTTCAAGCTTTATTTGATCAAAAACTTTCTCACGAATCTTACTGTCATCTTCCTCTGGAAGGGTCAATGCAACTGCAATGCCTTTTTTCTCTTTTGCCAGTTCTGTTATCTCACTCCATGCTAATAATTCATGTCTGTAGAGTTCATAGGGTTTGGATTTTGATTTAAATACTGGTGGGTTAATTTTAGTCGCCATATTGGATTCTGATCTTCACTGTTTCCCTCCTTTTTTTTTTCTTTTTCTTTGCAAAGACTCACCCTGTTTATACTTCTAACACACTTCACTTCCTTTCACTTGATCCTCTGGTTGAAACTATATACGCTCTGCTACCACTGTTAATCACTATTATTGCCTGAATTAATAATCACACTGTTACCACAGATCACTGACTTTATTTCTCCTCAGTCACATGGATCACACTAACTAAAGCAACCTCCAAACACAGAAGAGTTCGTTACTGAGAGTTATCTTTCTTGATACATAATGCAACATAAAATAGATTAACACTTACCTACAAGTATTATTGGGACAACAGATGCCATTGACGTGTCTTTGACAAGTCCTATACGTCTGCCACAGAGGCTCCATGCTGAAAAACGCCGTCGTGTCTCCATGTTGAAGGATTTCTGATGTGAACGTTGAGCCACTTCTTTGGTAAGCAACGACAAGGATTTTCCTCACCCTATGCCTCCCTGAAATAAAATGTTAACTTTTTAAACAGACATCAAAATGGTGAAGACGAAAGCTTTCTGAAATGTATCTAAAGTTTTATTGGTATGTTATATTTTCAGTTTGGAAATTTTGTTAAATTTATTCCAAAAAAAAAAAAATGAAAAAATAATAATTAACAAATGGTGATCGATTACCGTAACATCCACAAACAAATACAAATCTGTGAACAGGGCATAGGACACTGAGGTTTTGATCAGGTGGTTTGCAGGAGTAAGCATCCCTTTCGACCGGTCACTCACGCCGTGATCCCTAAATATTGATTAGGTAGACGGCCTATTCCATGGTATAAAAACAAAGGCCTGACAATTGGCATGAAAAACGTCAATGATAAATTATCTGCTAACAACATCATTATATCGAGTCTATTCGTCCATTTAATTTACGAAATGCTGACTATAAATAAGGTTGTTGAAATCCCTGAGACATCAACTTATCTGTCAGTAGCCGGCCGCTCGGTTTAAAAATTGACCGTTTTAGAGCAATTAAGCTCCTGAGTATCGAATAAATGGGAGACGTAAACCCCATATGTAGGTGATGTTTAAATAATACAACAAAAATAAGGGGAGTGGACGATGGAAAACATAAAAATGTGAAACGGATGTGACACAATTCGTGGTTTCTTTTATTTAAGAGTTCATTGGAATACTAGTATATCAAGTCGATGTATAAATGGACATTACTTTTAATCCTAAATTTGAAAATACTGCAAGTGATTTTTTTATGTACAATTTCCCTAAAACAAAATGTGCAGTTATGAAATAAACACAAGTACATGTGTATGCATGTAAATCTTCGTCTTGTTGCGAATAGTCGCAATTATAATGTATTTTCTAAAATTTTGATTTGATGTACATGTAATCTAGAATGTTCTATATGTTTCATGAATGAATTATCAAAAAGTCTTTAGAATTTGTCAAATTTGATGATCTAGAATTTATAGAAGTTTCCATTTCCAGATATTTCGTTAAAACTATATATATGCGAGTTTTTGTGATCTTAAATATACGAAAAATACTGAGTTTACATTGAGTTGGAAGAAAGATTGAATACATATTAGATACATTCTGATTATCTTAGCCAATCTGGTATTGTGATTGCTAACATTTGTGGCTTTGTTATTTGCCTTTAATCGTCATCATAAATTATAAAAAGATTTCCGTGCGATTGTGATTTGCCACACGTCTGATATTGAAAAAAAATGTAGCATGGGTCGTTCGTCATGATATATTGCCGATGATACGTAAAATGAATTCTTGTACTAGTATTCTGGTTCATGCGAATAAAAACAGGTCAACGAAAAAAGGAGCAAAATTAGTGCCTATCGAAATCCAAACAAAATATATATTACGAGTGAGGAACTCGAGCATTCTACATGTTCTGACCATTTCAATTTGTGAATGAACGAGTAATTTTTGACAAAGGATTTTTTTTTTTTGATGGCCAAAGTTTTGATGATCAAAGGGATTGAAAATTTCCGAGTTTCTTTTTTTTAATCTAACAGATGTCCATTGTCATGCATATGTTTCTTAGTCTTCCATTTACAGTCAGTTTGCTTCATCTTTGTGATGACATATCATTGTATTAAACCGATGTTTGACATTAAAAACGTTAATCGTTATCTGTTTTTTTTTTTAGGGTGAATCCGCACATGAAAGTATTTTGTGTTGGAAATATCTCCCCATCACTTTTTAGTGTGTAAATAATTCAACAACGAGAAATACAAAAATTGATCTTTCCTAAAAGCTCCATACAGTCGTTTTACCGGTAACGAATATTTGCCAGTATAGAATATTTTTTTTATTTAAATATTCTAGAAAAACACGGAGACGGGATTAAGAAATCTTACTAGGTAAATACAATAAAAGGATGAATATTCTATCCCTGTGTTGTGTTTTTATAATATCTGCATGATTATTTCCCACAGTATTTAAAATTTGAAACAATGACCTAGATTTTAACACGCAGAAGTGCAAGTAAAAGAAAACGAAAGTGTGTTTACAAACAATTGCGTCTAAATAATTTTTTCCGATATTGAAGTTGTCGATCAAGATTGAGTATTTTATTAATATTTAGTATAAATATAACATGATAGAATATTAAATTAAACAATAAATGACTTTTGAATGAAATTTTAACATCCAAACTAACCATGTCGTCGCCTGAGAATTATTATAAGGTTCTAACTGAATTTTGCCAAATTTTGGGAAATTAAAGTTCGGGGATCAATATCTTTTTACTCATAGCTTTTCCGACTATGATTTAAGGCATAAATGCTCAAAATATGCTAATCTAAGGCAAAATCAACTTAATATATAATAATCTGAGGAGAAATATGAAAAAAAAATACAAAGAAAATGGAGATAGAACTTTCTATCGAATATTTATGTGCACTTAAGTGAGTATTAAAATGCAATTGGCATGAAAAACGTCAATGATAAATTATCTGCTAACAACATCATTATATCGAGTCTATTCGTCCATTTAATTTACGAAATGCTGACTATAAATAAGGTTGTTGAAATCCCTGAGACATCAACTTATCTGTCAGTAGCCGGCCGCTCGGTTTAAAAATTGACCGTTTTAGAGCAATTAAGCTCCTGAGTATCGAATAAATGGGAGACGTAAACCCCATATGCAGGTGATGTTTAAATAATACAACAAAAATAAGGGGAGTGGACGATGGAAAACATAAAAATATGAAACGGATGTGACACAATTCGTGGTTTCTTTTATTTAAGAGTTCATTGGAATACTAGTATATCAAGTCGATGTATAAATGGACATTACTTTTAATCCTAAATTTGAAAATACTGCAAGTGATTTTTTTATGTACAATTTCCCTAAAACAAAATGTGCAGTTATGAAATAAACACAAGTACATGTGTATGCATGTAAATCTTCGTCTTGTTGCGAATAGTCGCAATTATAATGTATTTTCTAAAATTTTGATTTGATGTACATGTAATCTAGAATGTTCTATATGTTTCATGAATGAATTATCAAAAAGTCTTTAGAATTTGTCAAATTTGATGATCTAGAATTTATAGAAGTTTCCATTTCCAGATATTTCGTTAAAACTATATATATGCGAGTTTTTGTGATCTTAAATATACGAAAAATACTGAGTTTACATTGAGTTGGAAGAAAGATTGAATACATATTAGATACATTCTGATTATCTTAGCCAATCTGGTATTGTGATTGCTAACATTTGTGGCTTTGTTATTTGCCTTTAATCGTCATCATAAATTATAAAAAGATTTCCGTGCGATTGTGATTTGCCACACGTCTGATATTGAAAAAAAATGTAGCATGGGTCGTTCGTCATGATATATTGCCGATGATACGTAAAATGAATTCTTGTACTAGTATTCTGGTTCATGCGAATAAAAACAGGTCAACGAAAAAAGGAGCAAAATTAGTGCCTATCGAAATCCAAACAAAATATATATTACGAGTGAGGAACTCGAGCATTCTACATGTTCTGACCATTTCAATTTGTGAATGAACGAGTAATTTTTGACAAAGGATTTTTTTTTTTTGATGGCCAAAGTTTTGATGATCAAAGGGATTGAAAATTTCCGAGTTTCTTTTTTTTAATCTAACAGATGTCCATTGTCATGCATATGTTTCTTAGTCTTCCATTTACAGTCAGTTTGCTTCATCTTTGTGATGACATATCATTGTATTAAACCGATGTTTGACATTAAAAACGTTAATCGTTATCTGTTTTTTTTTTTGGGGTGAATCCCCACATGAAAGTATTTTGTGTTGGAAATATCTCCCCATCACTTTTTAGTGTGTAAATAATTCAACAACGAGAAATACAAAAATTGATCTTTCCTAAAAGCTCCATACAGTCGTTTTACCGGTAACGAATATTTGCCAGTATAGAATATTTTTTTTATTTAAATATTCTAGAAAAACACGGAGACGGGATTAAGAAATCTTACTAGGTAAATACAATAAAAGGATGAATATTCTATCCCTGTGTTGTGTTTTTATAATATCTGCATGATTATTTCCCACAGTATTTAAAATTTGAAACAATGACCTAGATTTTAACACGCAGAAGTGCAAGTAAAAGAAAACGAAAGTGTGTTTACAAACAATTGCGTCTAAATAATTTTTTCCGATATTGAAGTTGTCGATCAAGATTGAGTATTTTATTAATATTTAGTATAAATATAACATGATAGAATATTAAATTAAACAATAAATGACTTTTGAATGAAATTTTAACATCCAAACTAACCATGTCGTCGCCTGAGAATTATTATAAGGTTCTAACTGAATTTTGCCAAATTTTGGGAAATTAAAGTTCGGGGATCAATATCTTTTTACTCATAGCTTTTCCGACTATGATTTAAGGCATAAATGCTCAAAATATGCTAATCTAAGGCAAAATCAACTTAATATATAATAATCTGAGGAGAAATATGAAAAAAAAATACAAAGAAAATGGAGATAGAACTTTCTATCGAATATTTATGTGCACTTAAGTGAGTATTAAAATGCTCATGGAGATAGAATTTTTATTTTTGAAGAAAACTGATAAAATGTTTCACTTGTTGAACACAAGATTAATGTGAAACAAGCTAATTCAGAGAATTCGTGTCCCCCGCTTAGGGATAAAGTCGGCTCCCCCTGACTGAATTTGTAGAATTATTAAATGTATACATGTATACTGAAGCAAATAAAATACATGTATGTCAATATGCATATAAAGATTTGATTGCTTATTCTTTATTATGTGTATAGAAGATTTTTTTATATGGAACGTTTATCACACTGTAATGATGATTTTATAACCTCATAAATTTTTCATTTCACATGCTGAATACTATCATTTAGTAAAAAAAATAAAAGGTATTCCAAAAAAAAAAAAAAAAAAAGAAAGGATCGACCGAGATTCGATCCCGGGACCTCTCACATTTGAAGCGAGACCACGGAGTCGCTT